TCTTCAAAACAGGTACGAGACATAAACCTGAGAATTAACGACCCGTTAGCTTAACTAGCGTGGTTGTTAGAATCTTAGAAAAGATTATTCGGAAGGAACTGTTTAAGTATCTCAATGAAAACCGGATCCTTTCGAAGAAACAGCACGGTTTCAGAATATGTTATTCTTGTCTCACTAACTTACTGGTAAGTCGTGAAAGCCGGTGCGCTCTTAAAGAGCAAAAGTTGCCTTTATACGTAGTCTACGTTGATTTCAGCAAAGTTTTTGACAAAGTTCAGCACAAACGGCTGTTATATAGGCTAAGAAATGTCAGAGTTAGGGGCAATCTATTGATGTGGTTAAAAGACTTCCTAGTTGGGCGACATTAAAAGTACGAGTGAACCCAAAGTCATCTATCTGTGAAACTGTGCTTAGCGGAGTGCTCAAGGGTACAATTTTGGGGCCAGTGCTATTCATCTTGTATGTAAATGACTGTCCTCGTCTCCTATCAAGCAGCACGGCAGTGTGCAGTTTTAGAACCTTATGGTCAATACGTAGGGCTTTTAGTCACGTCGATGTTAAATCGTTTTTGACTTTGTACACAGTGTCCGTACGTCCTAAAATTGAGTAATGCATACAAGCGGCTAGCCCCTGCTGAAAAAAGAAAGTGAGCTTCTGGAAAAGGTTCAGAGAACAGAAAATAAGCTGGTTCCCGGAATAGCGAAGCTTCCATATGATGCTTGACAGGCCAAGCTGAACCTTTTCCCGAAGTCATATCGAAGAACTAGAGGCGGCTTGATTACAGTTTTCAAATTTCTTAGTGATAAAATACACTTGATATTCCCTCATGTTTCTTGTCTTCCAGAACAGAGAATTTACGAGGACACTCAGTTAAAGTTCACAAGCCCAGAACAAATTACTTTTCAGCTGACTGTCGACTTTCCCATCGAATCATCAACGAGTGGAATTCATCACCTCAGCACGTGGTTGAGGCTCCATCCATCGATTCCTTCAAGAGAAAGTTGAATCAACTGAGGTACGAACATTGCCAGGACTAATACAGGCCATCAAGCCTCCTGTCCTTTCCAAACAGAAAGTGAAACTAATATCCGCTCACAGCAACTGGAATTGCGGCGGAAGAGTTTGAGATATGGGTTTCTTACACGACAGCTAAAAATTACACGTCAACGTCTCGTAGACTGTACGTTGTGCGTACTAGTTCCAAAACACCAAGAGATATGAAAACTATTTGTTAGTATACATATGTGTGTGAGAATTCGGCTCCTCGCAAACTCCTAACGCATTCTGTCATAACGAAACATGCAGGGGTCAGGCACTAGTGGGACGTTCGTTGTAGATCAACAGACTGAGCACCTTTTCTACCAACGGGATAGTACTTCAGGTTCTAAATTCATAGTTCACACTGAAGCTGAAATCGTTGTAACTACAGTAACAGTAGCTCAGAGGCTGATATGTAAGAAAAGCAGAAATTTATTGGATATTCGGAAAGAATAAAAAATAAACACTTGGTAAGAGTAATTACTTGTATTGGATTTAGGAACCAGATGCTATTTAATTTGAGTTTTCATTTGAGTGATTGATCACCAACGTATTCTGAATGAAGGCTTTCTAAGCTCATAAGGCTTGCAAGTGAATGTTAACAGAACAAATCTCAATTATTCTTGTGCGCAACGGCAAACCCAAAGCCTTTACTTGAACTATCGCGTGTATAGAAACTAATTAAACACTCCAGATCAAGAAGCACTAGATGAGCTTAAATGGATGTGCTGTTTTTGGAGATCGAAATCAAGCATAAAACAAGTACAAAGAATTCGCTAGTTCATACAAACACCACACAAATGTATCTGAATTCTATTAATGTTCTGGAGCTGGTGAAGTGATTTTTGTTTTCATGCTATGCAGTTCGAACCATGTAGATTGACAACTCTTTGTTTTTACTAAGTCATAAATCTGTCAGATGTGATCGCTTAACCTTTAGGCTTAGATCAATACGAGGTTTCGCATTTTTTCAGTAAGGTGTTACGCCACTTCCGAAAGACGTTGATGTTATGTGCAAATATCCGTTATCCGTATCAAGAAAGAAGTTGCGACGACTTATGGAGCTAATAAATTATTAAAGACGATTTATCCTGAACTGTGAGACAGTATTGCGACCACTGATGGGTGCCTTGAGAGGACATGCCTGGACATTCTATCTGTCAACAGAGGCTACACAGGCATTCAGAAAGACCAGGCGAACACTAAACGATATTCATGAATTATCAAAAAGTCAAAGTCCATAGTCACACTAGTTCTGCAGTGGGTTCTGTCCCTCACTCCGACACTAGATTAGAACATACACTCGTCAATATTCATCGATAGATTCAGTGTTATTGTAATTGATAGAGAAGTTCAACTAGAAAGTCGCCTCTTCCATCAGCTTACAAAACGTCTCGGGATTAAAAGGGTCCGCAAAATATCCTACATTCCAATGGCAAATAATGTGTCTGGAGACTTACGTAAACAGTTAAGATATTCTCTCACGATTGTCTATGCGTACAACGATCAGGCTAATAAGCTTCCTCTGGTCCTGCTGGGCTTGAAAACAAAAACTAAACAGGATATTGTACGTTTTCCAGCAGGACTGGTATATGGAAGTACGCTAAATTTACCCGGAGAATTTGTCACTCCAGGTAAAAGTTTTCCGATTGGTGTGGCCGACTACGTACAGCGCTCAAAGAAGAAAATGAACAGTTTGCAAGTAACGCTTCTCAGACGGCAGCAACGACGATTATTCGTGCCGCAGCAGTTGTATAGTAGCATGTATATACACATTAGAATAGATAATGTACAACCACATTACAGCCGAATTATAGTGGTCCGTTTAGAGTGATTGCGAGGATGGATATAACAGTTACCGTAAATAAGCTCGGAAGATAGAGGTAACCATTAATCCAGCTAAACCAGCTTTCGTTGAATGTCATCAACCGGAATTCACAGATACTTTAAAGACCGTCGCATCACCATAACACGAGTCTCAAACATCAACGACGAAAATGAAACAAAGAGAAGAGACTCCAATAACGAAGAGATTTGGTCGAAGAGTTAAAAAGCCTCAATTTTGAACTAATAATTTTTTTCACTGACTCTAATAAATATTATTTAACTTTCTTTTCTTTTTATAAGCTCTCGTTGCTCTATTTATTATAAAATTTGACATGTTTAATATATCTTTATGCATATATGTACATTCGTTTAAAAACGTAATCCTCTTTGATCTTTTATCATTACTTTAGCTGACCCTATGGGCTTTCGCGAACTCAGAAATGTTGGTAAACATTGTAGTTTTATCTTAATTTTGTATAAGTCGATATTTTGATCATTGTAGTCATTCTATCCAGTTTAACATTTTTGCCAACAGGCATTTTCTGTATATATCTTTATTTGCAAGGTGGAGTTATTGCAGCACCTCACAAATATTATCATGGATGTATTGCGCATACCCAATCACGGATGCTGATTGGTGTCCGAGACGGATGTAAGAAAGTTAGGGGCGACCAAACCACAACGTAGCGTCAATCTATAAAGTCACTAACTTCTGGCCTGAGCCTTGGTGTTCGATGCAAACTACTTGGTTGGGGTCCGCATGATTATCGCAATCAATGGTTGGAGACTGAGTGACATCGCTCAGACTCGATCACAATGGCGTGTTGTATACACTCTTTAACTACCCTTAAACCGTGAGATTAGGATTACTTTATTTCAACGAACTAACTCTTTCTTACTATAGTATATCATTATATGTAACGTTTTCTTTACATATTACTATCATTCAAGTAACTGTTAATCATCTTGTTGTGTGGCAACTTCGACCGGAGCATATTTTTGCCTGGTCCTACGTTGTAGATGAATGATTTTGATACACTTTTCAATTAATAACCGTATGTAAACTACTACTGGGATCATGAAACAATGGAATTGCTTCGGAATCACTTACCAGTTTTTGTGTCCGAATGACCTAATATAATCTCTTTTCTCGATAAAGGCTTATAAAAATCTTCAGTGAAGAATATTTCGATGTATTCTCAGTCGCAATATTTCAATGAGTTTCCGTACATCCTATTCATTTTTAAAGAGTTAGCGATAATAACCGGTGAATCTAAGTAGAAAAATGTAAGTTAGTAATTTGATTGTGCCTACTGTATCGCAAATAAGCTACGACATAACTGCTACATCTCCTTCAGAAGTTGCCTAACTTCGATGGGTCATTTACCGACTGTTATACATTTTAGATTCGATTTCAGAAACTTAATGAAATTAGAATAAAGAATACATCCACATCATACATGGATCCATTTGATTGGTATACGAAAGAATTATTACTTTAGAATTAACTCATTTTTATATCTTACTTTGTGTCTAATGGAATCAAATTCAATTTAATCATCAATCAATATACATCTAACCAATCTCTTGGTACATATTAATCAATCTCAATAACTAGTGATAGAAGGCATTGTGGTGTTTGAATGAACTAATGATCCTTGTTGTACTTGTTGAATGCTTGATTTCGAATTCTAAATACAATACATTCGTTTGTGATTGTCTAGTACTTCTTGATCCGATTACATTATTTCTGGGATTCTTAGTTCATACTCCTAATTATCACAGGCATGTAGATAGAAAACTACAATTATTTGACTAGAAAAATTGTATTCAAGTTAAAAATTTAGCGAATAAAAGACAAATGATTAGACAGAAATTAGTATATAGACAAAAGGAAGTAGATATATATATATATAAACAATCACAGTCATTAAAGACATATATCTGTATATGTAAAGGACAGAGAATTATCATAAATAGTTGTTAAAGTACATTGAACAGGTTTACAATATTGGTACTAAAGTAAAATGGGGAATATCTACATGCTGCCTAAAACTGAAAAAAAAGTAAACAGAATTTACAAAAATGATGTTATCATTATCATTTCACATGATTAACAATTAGAATCAGTTAAATCAGTCAAATTCATCATTTCCTTCTGATCCATAGAAATGACTAAAACTAGAAACAATTTTTCTTTTACGTGCACTACGACGAAGAGATGCATTCGATAGATCTGAAGAATTTGACATTCTTATTGATTTCGACTGATTTGTAATACGACGACGTCTTTTGTTTGTATGTCTGGAATATAATTTATTTACAGAATGTGTATTATTCCCTGAAGAATATGAAGTCAGTTTTCTTCTTCTTTGATGAGTTTGTTTTTGCTCAAATGAACAATTATATTTTTGATCATAATCTTCGGAAAAAGTTGGGCATAGATCCTGTGAACCACGAGGTGGAGGTCTAACAACTCGACCACTAGAAGTACGTACTGTTGTGAAAGATGTCATCGAAGATGTTGCAGTGTTAATACAAGCTAAGTAAGAATTTAAAAAGCAATGAAAATGAAATCTTCTCATAAGTATTTTTATTTATATTTTATACATGTACTACACTAGTTGTAAAAATCAATACAAACAAAACCAATCTCCTCTCTAGTTCAACTGGATTATCCTACAGTTGATATTTTGACAGAAATTTGATCATTCGTAGTTGGCATATTTACATGCTATGAGGAATGCATCAATATAGCCATTTACGATACAAAATAGCATAGATGGAGTGTGGCTAACAGTGGAATCTACCATGCGTGTTTCACCCATGATTGATCGAATTTCCGTAAAAAAAAATCAACAATGCAATAGTCCAATCCATTTCAAGTTAAAACTCATATTTGTTATACAAGGGAGTAGCTGTTTTGACTCAGTAGCTAAATGAATAACAAGATGGCGTTTGAAACAAACTGTACACAGTTTGAGTCAGTCCCGCAGTAAAAATCAACTCTGAGATGAAGGTGTATCCAAGTGACGAGTCCTAAATAGAATGGGACATGTGTTCTGGATTCTAACGCTACCCACATTAAATCTACTTTATAAAATATCCTCTTTGACATAATTCACGTTCAGTAATAAAATTTATTTCATTGTGGTAAACGTTCATGTTTTGTATCAGCAACATTGCAAATTAGAGAGTAGTTGACGCTGAAACGATATAAACATTAGCACAGCATTTTATGAATAACTATTTTGGTATTTGTACAAAACTCACCTCCAAATTCTAGTCTTTATATGGACAATAATATTGTGATGTGGATAAGTTCAGACATACAGTAGTTAAATAAAAGAGAATCATGTTCATTCAGTCAGCTTTACGCAACATAAAACTTGAAATATAAGTACATCAATTGAAGTTGCTATACAAGATCAAATTATCAAGACAAATCACAAAATAACAGAGGCAATAATATTAGTGCTAATAGAAAGATTAGTTATCGAGGATACTAGTCAAGAAAATATAAATTAGCAAAACTAAAAAAAAGGTAATTTAAAAACTTAGAATATAAGAGACAACAAAGCGTGAAATGAGCCTAAATCATTGTAACTGATTTCGAATCACGTCAAAAACATCTTCAAAGATTAATTACAATAAATGTGCCAACGCTAACATCTTAGTTTTGACCTATCAACATTCAGTGACTTTACTGACTGATAACACATCTTGATTTGTTCCAGTCTAGATTTCTTCCTTTCCTATATCATAAAACAACATCTGCCAAAGTAGATATTGGTTGGTCCTACGTAATACATTTCTCAATGATCTCAGTGACTGAAGATCCACTATTTCATCAACTGATTTCTCATATTCACCTAGTACCCGACATTTAATATCGGTATTACTGTAAATTGTAGTGTCAGTTATTATGTTAAGCTCATATATCTTATTCTAGCTTTCGGACATCCCATTCTATTCATTCTATTTGAGTCATATTTTGACCTTGTCAATTATTCGCTTACCAGCCATTTCCACTGCGCATCATTTCCACTTGGCTTCACCGTGTGATTGCTTGCTGTAACGCTTGCGGATTTTTATTAATCATTAACAATAAATTATCTCTACAACGGATGTTCAGGCTTCTGAATAATCTCGAGTAAATCCGTAATTCTACTAGGAGATTAAGCCTACCTTAAATACTCGTTTTACGGGATATTATTTATTAGAGTCAGATATTGAGGACATTAGCTTCAACATATTGGTTAGCCGCCGTTTCAACAAAATCAATGATTCAAATATACGCGGAAAATGTTTCGATGACATCTATAATGGATCACTAGTAACCTAAGGATATCCTACTTAATGCTATAGGTTAAAACTATAACTTGTGAATAATTTAAAGATATCATCGTTTCTTCTTTGGAAAATACTCCGGTGTAGAAGTTTACTTGATTGATATTTATTAATTCAGTTAAATAAACCAATCACCAGGTAACATAAAGCGAAAATAAAGAGAAACAAACTTTTTTTCCAACCACTAACAAGTATAAAACAAACCTGGTGATGATAGCCATGATGTTCCATCATTTATCATGTAGCTCTTTTCATCATTAGAAGTATTACCAGATCGTGTTGAACATGAACGCCGTCTAGAATGACTGTCATGTTTCATGTCTTGATGAGAAATTGCCTCCAATTTCATTTTTGTACAAGAAGATGTATCATAATTATCAAAGCATTCAATAAATCGTAACAAATTAGGTGTCATTACATCATTAACCCAATTTTCTAACCATAAAGTATCATCAAACACTTGAGTATCAGGATCAGTATTATACAATTTTGCATTAGTTACTATCAAATTTAAATCGAATAACAAATCGCTAGGATTATATTCTTGTTGGATACGACTACGAATATGATATTTTGTTGTTGTTGGTGGTGGTGATAATGGTGAATGCAAACTTGATTGAGTATTTATGAGTTTCTTTTGAATAGTAGATAAATCCATTGGACGTTCAATGATACTATGATAATCTGGATATTCTAAAGGATCAATTGGTACACGAAAATAAAAACTTCTACGATGATTCAACAGTTCTTGGATAAGATTCAAAGCATCAGAAATCCATGAAGAACCACAAGTAACTGAACTATTATTTGTCAAAATTTTCTTTCTTGTAGATATTCTTCTTCCCATTTGAAAATGTCTTTGATGTTTATTTAATTCGTTTGAATTATTACTCACATCATCATCATTAAAATACACACCATATGAACGTTTGGACAGTGATTGGTTCAATCTTAATGACCTTCGTCGGTGAATCTCTCTCCTTTGCTTAGAAGAATAACATTTATTTACAATTTTTTCCTTTCTATCAATATGACATATCTTGGTTCGGGTACGTTTTTCAACAGTTAGATTATCATTAAATGAATTCGATGAAGTTGTTGCGGTGATTTGACCACTGTTCTCCAAATTTGCAGAAGGTATATTGGTAGAAGTGAGAAGCTTATATCGGCGTAAAACTTCATCCTATTTCAAAGAGATAAAAAAATTTACGATAAATTGAACAAGTATATATATATATTTAAGAGGTGAAAAGCACCAGAACAGTAAACTGATCATAAATAGTTATTTCCCACAAGCACAGCTGGTTGGTGGCTAGCGATAGAAACCAGGATGTGAGTTTTAGCCTAGCAGGGATTCATCAGATGGATATACCTGCATCCCAGGGTCGATGTTCATTTTGGTACTCGAGCCCATTACCATTTGCTTCAAACATCATCGCGTTATCCACTTAGCTACTGAATTCAAATAATCACTGCCTTGTTTAATTAAGTGCATTTAAATCCATTTGCGTTTGTTGTTTGAATTTTCCCACTGATGCGTTAGGAATGCAATTGATCAGTCTGTTATATTTTTTGTTAATTTTACTATCCACAATAAATAGACGGTTATTAAACAAATCGATCTGGTTAAATTCTATTCAAGCACGACGGAAATAATAGTACTAATCAGTTATTAAAAACGAGGAATTTGAAGTTTTTATTTGATTGCTTATTTTCAGTATATGGTTGTTGAGTGCCGGCCATTGTAAAATAACGACTGATAAGATGGGAAACACCTGTCTACCTTTCTAAAAAAAATAAGGTTTCTGTGTTCAGTCTATATCTATTGTTGGACCCGTTTACACAAAACAAGAGGGAAGAGTATTTTGTTTAATAATGCTTGGTAGTTCATCAGTAGCATGAAGAAACTATGATCAAACACAGAGAGCTGTCTAAAATCCTCAATTCGAAGAGATCAGGTTTTACAAGTATAGAGCAAAACTGCTCTCACTGACGCGTTGTAAATACACATTTTACAGTCAGACTAATAATATGAAGGTGCCAAAGATGGCCGAGATTGGTATAAGCCGCTCTGACTTTCACCATATGTGAATTGATCTCATCACTCACGCCACTATCAGCATTTCCGTAGCTACACAGATACAAGAACTTCTCGACTACATAATTCTGCTCACCACCTAGAGTGAGTGCAGGTTTAGGATGCTTCTAGTCTTGTAGAAACACCTTGAGCAGCATATGCCATACCTACTGCTAACTGATTAGGTAATTGGCATCCCGTCATCACAGATTGTCTCACTCACACCAAACATTTTGCTGCCAGTGACTCGGATGAGTTGAAAGAACTTTCAGCAGAAGTAACTGCTGCTTAAAAATCGTTAGCACGCTCTGGCCACCAGATTAACAGTCCTTTTCACAATTTAATTACGTAACAATCTTCGTTTATGGTCAAATTCGCGCAAGAAAGAATTAGTTTGTAGAAAGAAAGATATGAAGTGATGTTAATCTCTTAGTTTAAAGGAAGACAGGGAGTGTATACACCTACCCCATTGTGATCGATTCTGAGCCACGTCACCAAGAGTCTCCAACCATTGGTTACGATAGTCACGCAGACCCCAACCAAGTAGTCTGCATCTACCAACATAGCTCAGATTAGAAGTTAATGACTTCAACCACTTTCTTCCAACCATCTCCAACACTAGTCAGCATTGCGCGAAACCTTTTTAGTACTAAGTCATATTGTTTAAAATCACCGACTTTTGACTAATAACACTAATAGGATTCCATCTATTAACGTTAGATTGAAAAACTCAACGTAAAAATCAATCATGCTTTAATAAATTAACAGTCAGTCAGCTACAACGTAGGACCAGGCACATATGTGCATCGGTCCAAGTTGCCATACCTCATTAACACAACAAGATGGACACCGGATTCATAGAAGTAGTTAATTCAATGGTGGTAATATATAAAAGAAAGATTGCAATAAATTAACACGATCCTACATAACACTGATCGTATGTATATCAATAATAGTTAATTCAAAGGTTGAATATAATGTATAAATCTAACTGTAATTCATGCGAAATGTATTTAGAAGCAATTGTAGTGAGACTATAATTTATGAACGAATCAATCACGTATAAGACAACAGGTCTCGGATTTTGGCGCGAAATTCACCCATCCATTTGGCTAAAATAGAGTTTTGACATTATAGCTGATGTCAGTTTGTAATGAAAAACCTAACTGTTATATCCGACCGAAGATTAAATCACGAGTAACTCCTGAGACATATTAATTGACTAACATTATCTCTATATACTTATGGTGTAACTATTCAATAATTAGATTATGTATATTTATATTCCTCTTATTATAAGCTTTATTTTGACCTATTATTTATTATTGTACGAATTACGGTTCTTAAGTTATGTTCAGTTTATTGACTATTGCCTCCCACGTTCACAACCACATTTGGCCAAATGTCGTACAAATAGTATTTCCTATTTTATGGTACGTTGCGGTTTGTCTGGTTGTTATATAAACCGAGTATGTTTAAAATAAATGATTCTTATTGCAGAAGCTGGTATTGGTGTTCTGGACTCAAGTGGACAGACTAGGCGGACATAGGACCAATAAGGACGCTAGACTGTTCATACCGGTCGATTGGTTTGACATAGTGCGAAGATTGTATAAGTCGTATTTTGATTGGTGGATAGATGACGTAATAAAAGCCGGACATAAAGTTATAACACTAACTATCAATTGTAAATATTAATTCCAACTCCTCATCCTCATTCGGTTCTAGTTGTTGAGATGGACACTCTCAATATCATTTTAACATCGCTCAAAGGTCGTCCATAAATTGATAGTCTCTAAGCTAAATATGATACAAATAATGTAAAGAAAATTGAATATTGAAAAGAAAAGAAAAGAAAAAAAACACTTACACATGTCACTTTATTTTCTATACAATACAAGCCTAATTCATAAACGTATTGAGCATTTTTAACAATTGATGATCCTGGTAAATTATAACGTTTAGTATTTTCAAGTAATTGTAAAAAATCTGATTGAATTGATATAGATTGACGATAGAAACCATTTAATAAACGATTTAATATAAAATTTAAATCAACTGGATAAACATTAATAAATAAATAATCCGGGTAAGCAGCTAAATCAACTGGATTAATAAATTGTTCACTTATATCTAATTGCATAATCTGTAAGTTAAGAAAAGAAAAGAATATTAATAATAATAAAACAAACAAAAAAAGTTTTACAATGACATAAATGATTAGAGATTAGATGTAGTGGAATCCAGTTTGATGCGCAATTCGTCGTGTTTCGGATTCGTCAGCTGGATGTACCTGCAGCATCTCAAAGTTGATGTTTACTTCAAACGCTATTACGTTATCTACTTAGCTATTGAGTTCTGATAGTCACTTGCTTGTGAAATGGGGTGAAGTTTCAATTCACTTGATATTGCTTGTTTGAATCTTCCCAGTAATATTTAGAACTGTAATTTATCAGTCTCTTATTGGCATATGTGCATACATCCAGCTGACGAGTCCCAAATAGGACGAAACGCGCGATTTGGATTCCACTGCTAGCCACTATCCATGTTTGCATATAATGTCAATGGGAAGATTCAAACAAACAATACCAAGCGAATTTAAAAAAGCAGACTGTTTACATTTGGAAAATGGAATAGCATAATATTATAATTATCATTATTACCGTTTTTTATTTTGAAAATAGCAAAATATATTGAGACATTATACAACTTACATACAATAATAGGGACGGGATGAGGTATTAAGAATTAAACTGAAGTTTTCAGTTAGGTACACAAATAAGAGTTAGCATTTCTAACATGAACTGATACCAACTGTTATGGTGCAATCACCTTGTCATTTTTCTTTTCATAAATCTAAGAAACCCTGAATCGAGATTTACAATGAACCACACCAAGTGCTTTAGCATAAAATCTGCTCTCTCTGGTACGGCCGAGGGTGGGGATAGTCAGCTCTCCCTCTCCAAATGCTTTCACGTGGTCACGCGTGTACGGCCACTGCCAGGGAAGTCCTACTCATTGCTTTCTCGCCGCGCGGGTGTTCACGAAATCGAGAGGACGAAAAGCGAATGTCCGGTGCTTTAATCAGGTTGGTGGAGTTGGAAAACCAATGGTGCACATGGGCTCCAGGATCCCGAGGGAACAAACGGCGTATGAACCAATTATTGTTCACCGGCTATCATGGGATTGCATCCCCTAACTTTGCTCTATTGTCTTATGGATCAGACATTTAGGTCGAAGGTTCCGGGCGTGGCCCGCTAAGAAGACTACCTGCTTCGGTCTGGGCACCCTGGCAGTATCACAGCCCATACACAAATCAAGTGACTTGTGTGGCGCACATGTATGCCGTGCCTCTGTATCAATATTTATATGTTCAAATAAATAAATAAAATGTATCTTCAGAGCATTTATGTAATTTCAATTAAGGACCAAGCATTACCAATTTTTTACTTCATTTATATAAACATACAAGTTATCTACTTTAAATTTTGCACGAAATACGTGAGGCTTTATCTTAATTATAATTGACCACCTTACGGTTGTTATTATATTATTCTTTTACCGATATAACTTCTCCATATTTAATTTATATAAGTATAATTTCAAGGAGTATGTATGCATTAATCTCATTTACGATATCTGATGTTTATATCATCTTCTGAATTCTTCCATTCATTTCAACTTCGCAAACTGAAGATATGTTAACACCTAGCTTGCACGTAAACAACATGACATGTGTACATAACACACAATCGAGAATCAACAAGCCTATCACTAACATAGACGTCTCCAAGTTGATGAATGTAGGAAAAGAAAGTTTGTTTAGTGAAATCGTAATCATAAAATGTAAAAAAATTTCTTAATGAAAATTTTCACGTTACTTAACAACATGTTCCTGGATAAAGTAATTTGGCATAGTCAGCAAGCAGTAAATGGTCAAATTCTCAAGAGAAGTATGGACATAAATGTTGAACAAATTTGAAGTTCAACAAATAGATTATATTCCGGAAAAATGGTTATACATTTAGGTATGTGGAAGATTTTTAATACACACTACAATTTTATACGAATGGAGATAGAATTCTCAATCAAACTAAAGATTACAAGTTTGATATCACAATCACGTGTTCATGGTATTAACAGGTAATGTGCACTGAAGGATAACGAATGTTACAGATTATAGTGTGATGACAGGTGGCTAAAATATTACCCAAAACGAATCTGGTTGGTTGATCTTATTGAAACTACCGATGGAAACCTAGAAGCACTGAATAACTGCTTCGTCCTAGTATGAAACCCTTTGACAGTGCAGACTCCCAATTTCGGACTCAAGAACCGAATTCAGGACCTTCGGTCTCGCGCCTCAAGATGCGACTTCTGAAGTTCTAGTGAAAAAACGTAACTAGTGTAGCTAAATAATATCGAGTGTGAGTTATTGACCACAGGTGGTAGACCAGGGTTGTGAAATATTGTGAATTAATTAAATTTGGCCATTCACACCAAAGGATGCAGGCTCAGTATCTATAGGTTAAGCGTTCATTCGTGAGATCGAAAGTGCCAGGTTCGATACACGGATCCAGCGTCAAGGATCCGCACCGTTAAGGAGTCTCATTCTAAGACGAAATGGTCGTTCAGTGCTCACATGTTCTCACTAGTGATCTAGCTAATATCATTTCAGGATTTAAAATGTAAAAAGAATGAATGAAAATAATTACCTGAGTTATACACTCAACGAGACGTTTAATTTCTGCAAGATAGGCAGTTGAATGATTAGTTGTATCCCAAAATTTTGAAGTACCATATAATAAACATATTTGTTCATGAGAAATATGTACATAACCATCAACTAAACCACCATATAATGTAAATTCTGAAAAAATAAAAGTTGGTATGATACATGAGGAAATGTTCGTAAAGGAAGTATATATATATATATATATATATATATATATATATATATATATATATATATATATATATAATGAAATTTTAAGATTTACTTAAATGAATTCATTCAATAGGTGTACATACGTGTAGTTTAGATTGAGTTACACTGTAAGTTCGAGACCTGATGGTACTTCTACCCAGTTATCCAGGGCCGTGAGGTTCAAACCCGTGACTTAGTGGTTCAAAGTTGAATAACGTTAACCATTAAGTGACGACTTCTCTTTTACAATTATAAATATATCCAACAAGGGGATAATCTTATATTGATGTTTAAGAGAGCTAGATACAATTCAAGCCCATAACAATCTAAACAGCAAAGTGTGGTGAAGCCACATAGGTACCCAAAACGTTTAGAGTACCACCTACAGTTACTGTTTTTTGATGGAGTTTTGTTCTCTGAGCTACATAGCTTGATCGTAGAGCTTTTATCGTTCTTCTAAACGATATCATCAGCACAAACTTCAGATAGATATGAATTGTTCGAATTTCTTCAAATACGACTCATAGTCAGTTCACTTTTATCTGAATGAAGTTTTTGCTCACGATGTCGTTCAGAATAACGATAAAAGCTCCACGACCAAACCATTCAGCTCAGATAATAAAACTCCATCAAAATCACCCACCTGAGCTACAAATCTTCTCCACCATCTCACAGTTACCGTTTGAAAATACCTCTGAGCATCCAGGTGAAATGAAGAGAGAACATTATTGTTCAATTAGAGCTATTTTTTGAAAACTTTTGAAAAAAACCTAGGGATTAACTCATCATATTTTCCTGTATCCAACTTAATTTTTTCGATATAACTTGAATTCCCAGACTTTTGTTTAACATTCGAGTATGTCAAGTCAAGGATCATGTAAAAAAGACAAATAAACTGCGAATACACTATTTAATGTGTAGAGGTCGGGAAATAGGAGCAGATATGAAAAGGATGAATAACAACTGGAAGGAGCTAGAAAGGATTGCCCAGGACAGGGTTAGATGGAGAATGCTGGTGAGAGGCCTATGCGCCTTCACGAGGAGTAACAGGCGTAAGTAAGTAAGTAAGTAAGTAAGTAAGTAAGTAAGTAAGTAAGTAAGTAAGTAAGTAAGTAAGTAAGTAAGTAAGTAAGTAAGTAAGTAAGTAAGTAAGTAAGTAAGTAAGTAAGTAAGTAAGTAAGTAAGTAAGTAAGTAAGTAAGTAAGTAAGTAAGTAAGTAAGTAAGTAAGTAAGTAAGTAAGTAAGTAAGTAAGTAAGTAAGTAAGTAAGTAAGTAAGTAAGTAAGTAAGTAAGTAAGTAAGTAAGTAAGTAAGTAAGTAAGTAAGTAAGTAAGTAAGTAAGTAAGTAAGTAAGTAAGTAGTAAGTAAGTAAGTAAGTAAGTAAGTAAGTAAGTAAGTAAGTAAGTAAGTAAGTAAGTAAGTAAGTAAGTAAGTAAGTAAGTAAGTAAGTAAGTAAGTAAGTAAGTAAGTAAGTAAGTAAGTAAGTAAGTAAGTAAGTAAGTAAGTAAGTAAGTAAGTAAGTAAGTAAGTAAGTAAGTAAGTAAGTAAGTAAGTAAGTAAGTAGTAAGTAAGTAAGTAAGTAAGTAAGTAAGTAAGTAAGTAAGTAAGTAAGTAAGTAAGTAAGTAAGTAAGTAAGTAAGTAAGTAAGTAAGTAAGTAAGTAAGTAAGTAAGTAAGTAAGTAAGTAAGTAAGTAAGTAAGTAAGTAAGTAAGTAAGTAAGTAAGTAAGTAAGTAAGTAAGTAAGTAAGTAAGTAAGTAAGTAAGTAAGTAAGTAAGTAAGTAAGTAAGTAAGTAAGTAAGTAAGTAAGTAAGTAAGTAAGTAAGTAAGTAAGTAAGTAAGTAAGTAAGTAAGTAAGTAAGTAAGTAAGTAAGTAAGTAAGTAAGTAAGTAAGTAAGTAAGTAAGTAAGTAAGTAAGTAAGTAAGTAAGTAAGGTTGATACAAACTGGAATAATTGAAGTTTCAATAAAAGAGAAAGTAAAAAAGGAGCCAACTGTTTACATTATTCTTTTTTTCAATTTTCTTTTTTACAATACAAAAACATCTTTAATTTCACAACCTTTTAAATGTTGCCTCAATATCAACTATATACTAATCTTAAGTGCTGATTATTAATCGTCCGAGTTATTGATAAGGGAAAGATGATACAGTTCAAATGAAAATAGAAATCATGAGCTCAAACGGTAACTAAAATAACTTAGGTTAGCCAAAAAGAGAGACAGAGAGAAAGTTACTGTCATGTTATGCAATAAATAAGGATAGAATGAATAAATAACATCTAGTACAAAAGAAATAGGAACAATAACGGGGCGGATTTGCTTCGGTTTGGGCAACCGGGCAGTATCACAGCCCTCACATAAATCAAATCAGATCTGTGTGGCACATATGTATTTGGTGCCTCCTCGCACTAATATCTATGTGTTAAAATAAATAAATAAAAATAAGTACAAAAGAAGAAAGGATGAATTACAACTGGAAGGAGCTAGAAAGGATCGCCCAGGACAGGGTTGTATGGAGAATGCTGGTGAGCGGCCTATGCTCCTTCACGAGGAGTAACAGGCGTAAGTAAATAAGTAAGTAACAGAAGAAGAAAAAAAGGCACTAACCTGAGTCTGTTGCATTAGTTGACCGGTTATCAATATCAGCAGATTCTGCATACCATTTATACATATCCCATGAATTAACATGATCAATATTATCTGGTAATTTATTTAGGGATCCAGTGTGGTTAGTTTCTGATAAAGCTAATAAATTATGTGAATAGTTATCATTGATTGTGTTATTGCCATTACCACTACTAGTAATACCATCATAGCATGGTTCATTCTCATCCAACCAACGAACTAAATATGTAGTGTTTAAAAAATGCATTGCATTATTAATTTCTACTAGGGAAGTACTAGGTTGTAATGTTGATAAATCATCGTCTGAAAGATTTCGAATTACGAGACCACGCCACCACGAATCACCACCAACAGGGCATATAAACATATCACCTAATATAAATGAATAAATGATATTGTTTATATATCTTATTAAAAATAAAAAAATTAACAATGGTACGAAAAGGCATATACACATATATACACGCCGTACAGTGAATTTGTGTGTCTGAGATACTATCAGGGTGCCAAAAATGAAACAAGTGATTTTCTCATGAGACCACCCCTCCATACTTTCACATACACGTCTAATCCACAATCCAGTGATCAACGTTAGGATATACAGTCTGATTGTACTTCGGGACCATACGCCATTTGTTCCCTACGGATCAAGAGGCGCATGTGCACTAATGTTTTGAAACTAGTTTTTCCCAACGGATGCTCCATACCCAAAAACTCGGTTTAACCAGTGGACACTCGTCATCAAAATTTCGTAAAAACACCCAACCACAAGAAGGCAATGAATAAGACTTCCCTGGCAGTGGCTATATACGCGTAGCTACATGAGAGGCAGAGCAAACCCACCCTTGGCGATTCCATGCCATTGTGAGGCCAAATAATACAGATAAAACTTACAATAAACCAGTAAACAATGATTTTGTTCTATTTGAAAATACTTATGGAGTTCAACCATGTTCAAAATTCAACAGAAAACCATGATGATATAATGGAAAGAAAAGCCAATTTCCGATTGATTTACTAATTATGGGTTTTGTTCAAAGTTACTTCCATTCTGAGTCAATGTGTTGATCATTCAATGTAGTATTTGATTTGTTTTCTCATATGATATCTTATTCCATTGATTATTTATTTATTTGAACACATAAATATTGGTATAAGGGGGCACCAAATAGATATGCGCCACACAAAACAATGAGAATGGGAAGAGAAAAAAAGAAGGTAAGCAGTGTAAAAGGAGAACAATAACGAACAGATTAATGTAAGGTAGTGTAATAATAATAATAATAATGGGGGAAACAGAAAGGTACAACCAGAAGAATTCTCTCATTTAAGGAAGATACAACCACTTTTTATGAAGAAAGTAAAAGAAGGTTATAGCAGGATCGCCGCTGGCTTCTATTCTGAGCCATATTTGATAACGTCACGAGAAGGCAATGAATAAGACTTCCCTAGCACAGGCTGTATACGCGTGACCGTGTGAAAGCATTTCGAGAGGGACGATGGACCAACCCCATTCTCGACCATACCAGGGTATTTGGGGGCGATGTTTTATACTGTATAATATACGGTATTCTTGTATTCAGTTGACATGAACTATGCTCATTATGTCATTTATTATAACTAAGTATTTTCCATATATGTGATTTCATCCTAATTATTATTCAAAATGGGTGTACAATCAATATATAAATGAGCGTATTTTAGACTAGGATCGTCGTCATAGTGTTTTGAGACTAACAAATCTTCACTTATACCAGTCTTTGTGTTCTTACTTTGGAATTGCAGAGGTCCCTCGTTCCGAGTATAAGTGATCAACGTTTTTCCGACACAACAATCAGCGACGACCAGATATAAAACATGATGTAAACAATCTTCAATCTGTAGTGATCTCAGAATCGAGGGAAAGTGACATATACAACATGAGAATAAAACATGCACGAATTATGAAGGCTTACAAGACAAATTGAACAGATAGATTGAAATGAATATATTTCTCCCCGGTTTACTCTTATTTTGACTTATGAAAAGTCAATAAAGAAGTGTAGTGATATATTTAAGGATATACTAGACAAGAAAGTATCTAGATTTTCACAATAGTGAGAAATAATTAGGAAAATAAAAACTTTAAATTTTATCTTAATTGCAAACAGTAAATGTGTCAAGTACAATGTATATAAGGATATGATATAGGGATAAAGAATTAGTTTCCAGCAAGTAAGATATAAGGCGCTATTAATTTCATAGTTTAAGGGAAGACAGAAAGTTTATACACTTACACCAGTGTGATTGATTCTGAGCCGTGTCCCACAGACTTCAACCATTGGTTACGATAGTCACACGGATCCTAACCAAATAGACTGCATCTATCAGCATGACTCAGTTCATTTGCAAACAACAAATGTGTATAAGTGCAATAAAAATATCAGTCAGTCAGCTACAACGTAGGACCAGGTTGCCATACCGCATCAGCACAGGATGAACACCGGATTCATAGCAGTGGTTAGGTCAAAGGTGGTAATATATAAGAGAAAGATTGCATATAGAGATATAGTACAAGAAGAAAGAATTGGTTCGTAGAGAGAAAGATATGAAGCGATTTTAATCTCTTAGTTTAAGGGAAGACAGGGAGTGTATACACCGACGCCATTGTGATCGATTCTGAGCCATGTCACCAAGAGTCTCCAACCATTGGTTACGATAGTCACGCGGACCCCAACCAAGTAGTCTGCATCTGCCAACATGGCTCAGACTAGAAGTTAGTGTCTTCAAGCACTGATGCCACGTTTTGGTTTGGCCGCCCCTAACTTTCTTCCAACCATCCCGAACACCGGTTAGCATTGCACGTCGTGGTAATCGGTGTTCAGGCATACGTAACACGTGGCCCAATGAAAATATACTTGATTTAGATAACAGATCCATAGAATAGTAAAGGAATGAAGAATGACGTAAGTTAAATTATTATTCTAACAAAAAATTATTTCGCAGTTATTTTTTCTATATCAACAAAATCCACACTAGATGCCCATAGTCCAATAAAGATTGTTCGAAATTCGGTCTTGAATATCGAATAAATGGGATAATTTAAAACTTTACCAATAATCACATATGATACTCATTCATTGAATTGGAACTCGTCACTGTACTTCAACTTCATTGATTATGAAAAGGCAATTGACAGTGTGGATAGGAGGACGTTATGGAAACTTCTTCGACACTACGGAGTTCCTCAGAAGATTGTCAATATTATCTGGAACTCATATGACGGACTACAGTGCAAGGTCGTGCATGGAGGACAGCTGACAGATGCATTCCAAGTAAGGACCGGAGTCAGACAAGGCTGTCTACTCTCTCTCTTCCTCTTTCTACTGGTGGTCCACTAGATTATGAAGACCTCGACATCTGAGGGAAAACGCGGAATACAATGGACAGCTCAGAATCAATTAGACGATTTGGACTTCGCAGATGACCTGGCCCTCCTATCGCATACACACGAACAGATGCAGATAAAGACAGCCAGTGTAGCAGCAGTCTCTGCATCAGTAGGCCTCAACATACACAAGGGGAAAACCAAGGTCCTCAAATTCAAAACAGAGAACAGCAATCCAATCACTCTTGATGGCGAAACTCTGGAAGATGTAGAATCCTTCACATACCTGGGAAGCATCATCGATGAACAAGGAGGTTCGGATGCAGACGTAAAGGTGAGGATTGGCAAAGCAAGGACAGCATTCCTACAGTTGGAGAACATATGCAACTCAAAACAACTTTCAACCAATATCAAAGTGAGAATCTTCAATACGAACGTCAAGGCAGTTCTACTGTATGGAGCTGAAACTTGCAGAACTACAACAACCATCATCAAGAAGGTGTCTTCGCAAGATACTCAACAACAATTGGCCGGATACCATCAGTAACAGCCTTTTGTGGGAGAGAACAAACCCGTTTCCAGGTGAAGAGGAAATTAAGAAAAGACAATGTAAATGGATAGGATATACATCACGCAAATCGTCAAACTGCATCACGGAACAAGTGCTAACTTAGAATCCTGAAGGACGGCGGAAAAGAGGAAGGCCAACGAACACATTACGTCGGGAAATAAAAGCAGATATGGAAAGGATGAATAACAACTGGAAGGAGCTGGAAAGGATTGCCCAGGACAGGGTTGGATGGAGAATGCTGGTGAGCGGCCTATGTTCTTACGCGAGGAGTAACAGTCGTAAGTAAGTAAGTAGTAAACTCAACACAGATTAATGGACAACGCATTGGACATTTAAAGAAAAAGGTGTTGGATTCGAATCTTCAATGAAACAAAATGAACATCTCTAATTTAACAGCTTAACATAAACCAACAATTACATTTTTTGTTATTTTCAAAATACTATATTACAAACAAATTAGAATATCTAAGATTTAACACTAACCTGGTTTCCATTTCTGTTTTAATGATGCATCAAATATTCGTCGAAGTATAATAAATTCTAAGATTCCATCTACATCATGATAAGTAACATGAATAATATTCGAGGGATATTGTTGTTTCTCATCATGACAATGTTTAGAATGTTCAGTATTGATTTTTCCACATGATAATTTTCTATAAGGTTGATTCTCTTCAATTTGTAACTGTAAAGTGATAAGTCGAACAAAACTATCTCCATCATCTGATGATAATGATGAAGAATAAGCATTACCACAACTGAGACTAGTCGATGCAATGGGGTAATCATTATTGTATGATGATGAAGACGTTGTGGTAGTATTAGTAGTATTAGAAGAGGAAGAAGTAGAAGCTAGATTAGTTGACTTATATTCTTTATGATAAGATAATTTTAGATCTTTCAAATTAATTAATTGTTTTGATTGTCGTAAAAGTTTAGTATTTAAATATTTTCTACTCCTTTTCTTTAAATGTACAGCTGATGAAATGGATGATGATGATGAACGTGAAACATTTGATGGATGATAATAATTACCAGCTATACGTACAATATGATAAGTGATTTTTTGCACTGAACAACACAGAAATTGCTAGAAGTATATAAGAACAAAACAATCGAATAATTACATCAATCAATTAGTAATGAATTTTTTTTATTGAGTAGACTCATATTCTAAATGTAGTTCTACTATTACTACTATTAATAGCAGTAGTATTGTGGACCGCGGGGTGGCTACTATAATTTCTACCGATGGACCAACTTCAGTTATCCCAGTACGATCCCAATACTTTTCCCCAATCTCCAATATATCAGAACACGAACCGTAGATGAAAATTGTTTATGGGGTCAGGAGAAGAATAAGAATAATACTTTACAGACAAATGCATATTTATACAGTTAGAACTACCGTGAACAGTGACCAATAGGAAAATGACACCATTTCACCTTCAAGGATGTCCTTGCTTTTTAAACTGATGAAAGTAATTTTAAGAATGTTTTAGAAATAATGAAAATTGTATGGTGTGAGTATCAAAACATATATTTGATGGAATCGTAATCACGGTTAGGACTATTCATCATTAAATGCATGAATTATGTAAAACATTTATAAAGTACCGATTTATATACAAGGCTTTACGGTGGTACAATTTGTGATAGGGATAGTAATAGAGTTTGAACATTTAAATTAACCAGTAAAATATTAACAATTTAACCGATAAAACCACCAATTCAGAAAAACTGATAAATATTTGACCAGTCAGTCAGTTAAACGAAATGTAGAATCTGGTATATTTGTACATTGGTTTAAATAGGCAATACCCCCATTAGTACAGAGATGAGTTTGTCAGACCGAAACCCATAATAGTAGAGGTAGTAACAGTATCAGTGATCATAGGAATCATTAGGCATTGGAGATAAGATTCAAGAAGAAAATATAAATTAGTGAGAAAGTCATGAGGAATTTAAAATCTCAGGATTTGAGGGGAGACAAAGAATGGATGCATCTGCTTTATCATGAACGATTTCGAATCATATTACCAAAGGTATTTAACTATTGGTTATGATAATCACTATTATCATGTATTATACAATTCCTTAATTATTGCCAATTAATTATGTACTGTACAAGTTAATAATGAGTGTTTGAGAATGATTTTACCTGTGCTGTGTTGACTAGGCTGAGTGATAATCGATATGTGATAGTAAAAGTAAAATATGATTGATCGTCGGGAGTGGAAAAACAGGCGCTAAGCCTACTGACCAATAAATATGTAATTTTCTTTCCTTCTATGGATTTTTACCCCGGACTCACTGAGTGTGACTGCTTGTAATTGCATTGAATAAAGTATTATCTAATGTTATTCTGGTTCCCCATTATGGATCATGAATCCCTGGTTCTGATATAACGTGACTAGTCTCATGATTGTATTAACGTATTACCGTAGTATACATGAGAGAGAAGTATATTTGAAGTCCGATATATTAATAATAATGATAATAATAGAAAATTAGCATGCGAGTTCTTTTTGGATTCAGAGCTCGGGATAGAGAAAGGCTTGAGGATAGGTGACAAATAGGGTTGTGGTTCACGTTGGTTCAAACTTAATTGTGTAGGTCAGAACGCATAATTAGATAGGTCCAGGACGCTAAACTAAAGATGGAATAGTAGGCACAACACAAGAAAATAATAATCGGGATTGTGATTGGTGAATTCTCCACATGATATCCATTGGCGTTACAAGTCATAACAAAAATAAAACTTACTGGTAAATCAGGCCAAGTAGTCCAAGGTAAGGAAGGGGGAGAATTTGTTTTTTGTTGATCTAAATTACCCATTAATGGTAGATTGCCGCATTCCCAAGCTTTTGATAAATAATCTTGATGACCACGATATAAATAGACGACGCGATCTCCAGTTTGAGGTAGATAAGGGGAAGCTGATGGTCGAACAGTAGATAACCAATCGAAATAAGGACCATCCCAATGATTAACATCAGTATTTGGAAGAATGAAGTGATTTTTATTTAATTCTTCTTCATGACCTTCACATTCAGGAGATAGATAACAATCTAACGGTATTCGAGTTAACGGTAATCTACTGCAAGTCTAAAATGAAAATACTTACTCATGAAAATTACCAATAGTACAAAAAACAAATAAGCATTATAAACAAACATCAACAATTATCAAATCATCAATATAAGGGTTGTGGACATTATTAAGTTTTAGATTGAGATTATAAACCGCTTGATGTTAGACCACTATGAAAAACCTGGAAGCACTGGACGGCCGTTTCGTCCTATTGTGAAACTGCTCAGCAGTGCACATCCACGATCCCAATCGCGGGATTCGAACCCAGGGCCTTCAGTCACGCGCACGAACGCCTAACCTACCGGATAACTGAGCCGGCATCCAATGGTGTTAATGTCTAACCTCAGCCAATCCACGAAGTTGCGCAACCATCTTCCATTGTACTGAGGTAGACACCTGTTTCTACCAGACACGGATTAGGTCCACCGGTCACAGCTTCTCACCAGAACTCCGAGAATTTTCTCACGAAGCTATTCCCACAATAGGACGAAACGGCCGTTCAGTGCTTTCAGGTTTTCAATGGTGGTCTAACATCAATTGGTTCATGATCTCAATCAAAACTTACCGATCTCCACAACCCCTATACTGACAATAATAATGTGTCTTCTATATAACTTCTAACTAAACTGTTTCATATAAGTAATGTAAACCCATTTGGTAATGGTGTCTTTTTAAACATCACAGGTTGTAAACAGCTGAAGAGGATTATACGAAATAAAATGAATTAGTGCTATTCTACAAGAATCTTTATTCTTGCTCTTTTCAAAATGATAAACAGACCTATGTGTATGATATATTGTATCGATAGGATATCTGGTCTAGTGATAATATAATCTCTATCATTGGTTAGTAATTATCTTCACCTAGTTATATATATATGATCATCATATCAAAATAATAAAATTTAACAAGTCTGAATATTCTTTAACAATATGCATTGTAAGCAAATGTTACAAATAACATGGATGAAAGATTATTTGTCAGTGGAATTTGGAAACATACACAAATGACACCTATTTTTTTTCATTTTATGAGTATTAAATGACTTTTTGTTGTTGTTAAAATAATGTTCCAATGATTTCAAGTTAAAACATTATTTATTATTATTATTACCCATAAAATGGATACGTTACAAACTCATGGAAGGATAATATATATACACTGAACTATTCACATATATGGTTTGAATCATATTTTCTGGTTAGAGCATTTTTTATCTAGTTAGTTTTCTACGGGATGTGGTCACTAACCCTATGCCCAACCCTCCTCTTTTATCCGGGCTTGGGACCGGCAGTAGCCCCAGAGGGGCTCCAGGCGGAAGACACAAGTGTTTATTAACAGTTGTCTACGCAAAATACTTCGGATCCGTTGGACAGACACTATCAGCAACAACCTACTGTGGGAGAGAACAAACCAGATTCCAGAGGAGGAGGAAATCAGGAAGAAGTGTCGGAAGTGGATAGGACACAGATTGAGGAAAGCACCGAACTGCATCCTGGCAGCGACATCCGCGTTATTTGCCCCCAAATGACGAGAGCGGGGTGGGTAAGCCCTCCCTCTCGAAATACTCTCACACGGCAACGCGTATACAGCCCCTGACTCGGAAGTCCTACTCACTGCCTTCTCGTGGCGGGGGTGTTGTTTACGAAAATGAGAGGACGAAAAGCGAATATCCGGCGCTTTAACCGGATTCCAAATCTATGGTGCACATGGGCACCAGTATCCTGCGAGAACAAATGGCGTATGAACCAATTGTTGGTCACCGGCTACCATGGGACTGCATCTCCTTACGATGCTCCACTGCCTTGTGGGTTAGACCTTTAGGTCGAAGGCTCGGGGTGTGGCCCCCTAAGATAACCACCTGCTTCGGTTTGGGCACCCGGGCAGTATCGCAGCCCACACGCAATTAATAAACTGAAATTGTGTGGCGCATATATATTTGGCGCACTCCTGTACCAATAATATTTGTGTTCAAATAAAATTCAAATAAAATAAAACCGAACAGCGTCACAAAGCAAGCCCTCACATGGAATCCTCAAGGCCAAAGGAGAAGAGGAAGACCAAAGAACACATTATGTCGAGAAATGGAGACAGACATGAGAAGAATGAACAACTATTGGATGGAACTAGAGAGGAAGGCCCAGGATAGAGTGGGTTGGGGAATGCCGGTCGGCAGCCCATGCTTCATTGGGAGTGACAGGCGTAAGTAAGTAAGTAAGTAAGTAAGTAAGTAAGTAAGTAAGTAAGTAAGTAAGTAAGTAAGTAAGTAAGTAAGTAAGTAAGTAAGTAAGTAAGTAAGTAAGTAAGTAAGTAAGTAAGTAAGTAAGTAAGTAAGTAAGTAAGTAAGTAAGTAAGTAAGTAAGTAAGTAAGTAAGTAAGTAAGTAAGTAAGTAAGTAAGTAAGTAAGTAAGTAAGTAAGTAAGTAAGTAAGTAAGTAAGTAAGTAAGTAAGTAAGTAAGTAAGTAAGTAAGTAAGTAAGTAAGTAAGTAAGTAAGTAAGTAAGTAAGTAAGTAAGTAAGTAAGTAAGTAAGTAAGTAAGTAAGTAAGTAAGTAAGTAAGTAAGTAAGTAAGTAAGTAAGTAAGTAAGTAAGTAAGTAAGTAAGTAAGTAAGTAAGTAAGTAAGTAAGTAAGTAAGTAAGTAAGTAAGTAAGTAAGTAAGTAAGTAAGTAAGTAAGTAAGTAAGTAAGTAAGTAAGTAAGTAAGTAAGTAAGTAAGTAAGTAAGTAAGTAAGTAAGTAAGTAAGTAAGTAAGTAAGTAAGTAAGTAAGTAAGTAAGTAAGTAAGTAAGTAAGTAAGTAAGTAAGTAAGTAAGTAAGTAAGTAAGTAAGTAAGTAAGTAAGTAAGTAAGTAAGTAAGTAAGTAAGTAAGTAAGTAAGTAAGTAAGTAAGTAAGTAAGTAAGTAAGTAAGTAAGTAAGTAAGTAAGTAAGTAAGTAAGTAAGTAAGTAAGTAAGTAAGTAAGTAAGTAAGTAAGTAAGTAAGTAAGTAAGTAAGTAAGTAAGTAAGTAAGTAAGTAAGTAAGTAAGTAAGTAAGTAAGTAAGTAAGTAAGTAAGTAAGTAAGTAAGTAAGTAAGTAAGTAAGTAAGTAAGTAAGTAAGTAAGTAAGTAAGTAAGTAAGTAAGTAAGTAAGTAAGTAAGTAAGTAAGTAAGTAAGTAAGTAAGTAAGTAAGTAAGTAAGTAAGTAAGTAAGTAAGTAAGTAAGTAAGTAAGTAAGTAAGTAAGTAAGTAAGTAAGTAAGTAAGTAAGTAAGTAAGTAAGTAAGTAAGTAAGTAAGTAAGTAAGTAAGTAAGTAAGTAAGTAAGTAAGTAAGTAAGTAAGTAAGTAAGTAAGTAAGTAAGTATTCACATATATCAATTCAAGGTTAATTGATAAACGAGAGAATCTGATTGGTGTATATTAAAAAGCCAAAATTTGAATTAACTTTTTGATGAAACAGTTTATTTAGTTGATGGTATTAGACAAGCCAGTGAACATAATAATGAATACTTCCATTGATGACTTACAACTTCAGAAAGTTATGTAGAAGTACAGTGAGTTTCGAATTCAAATTTCTATGGTTGTATAAATATAAAAATTTTATTAGTATGAGGGAATTTATGAATATTGTAGAATTTTCATAACTTAAAACACAAATTGATGTTAGTTAGATGGACTAACGAGAATCAAGAAGCACTGAACACATGTTTCGTTCTACAACGAACTTTCTCAGTGTTACGATTCCACGACCATGTATCCAGAAATTGAACACAGTACCTCTGATCTGGTGCGTAAACACTTAACCAATAGTTTGCATGTAAAATTTCAATCAATTTACGACATTCCACAACACCCATTATTGCCTATTTTGTAAAACTGCCTCACATTCGGCATCGTTGTACTCCTTCGGCTGCAATATCTCATTAGAGCTCCGGGTGTCGTATTTTGAAGCCAGTCACTGGTTAGTAAACTGTTAATATCAGCATAGAGGGATTTGTGAAGATTGTGGAATTTTAAGCTTAAATAAAAAAACTACTCTTAGTTAGATATTTTTTAATTATTAGTCAGTGTTTTTCATTGTAAATTTTTCAACGTTACCCAGACGTCGTCACATCAATGAATGTCTTCTATCATAGTCATCCATATTTTAAATGTGAACCAGTTAGTTATATAGGAAAAAATTAAAATAAACCAATTCATGATTGAAATACCGCGACTAAAATTAACAATTTCAGTTTACAAAACACTTTGAACAGAAACAAACATGAAACACAGTGTATGAATGAATGAATCAATCAATCAAGCAACCAATGAATCCATTACAAAGATTTATGCATATAAGGATAAAGATTATGATGATGAGATGGTAGAAAAGATTTGTAGCTCAGGTGGATGATTTTGGTGGAGTTTTGTTCTCTGAGCTGGATGGTTTGGTCGTTGAGCTTTCATCGTTCTTCTGAACGACATCATCAGCACAAACTTCATATAGAAGTGAAGTGTTCGAATTTCTCCATATGTGTTTCACAGCTTGTTCTGTGCACTTCTCCCATTGGGAGACACAACCAAGCAAAGAAGTAAACAATGATAAATTTATGGTCAATAAGAACCAATCAACATCGGGGTGCACAGAACAAGCTGTGAAACACATATGGAGAAATTCGAACACTTCACTTCTATATGAAGTTTGTGCTGATGATGTCGTTCAGAAGAACGATAAAAGCTCGACGACCAAACCATCCAGCTCAGAGAACAAAACTCCACCAAAATGATGATGATGATGAAGATTCCCAGACGACTGTACATAAAATGAATACACATTATAATCAATTCAATAAGGTGAGTAAAAGAAAAAGAATAAAAAGTATAGTGAGAATAATTATTTCATATGATGTGTATGTAATGAGATCATGCATATTCACCTTTTATCCAATGAATAAAATATGATAATATCGTAACAACAGTAAAAAGAGAAAACAAAGGAAGAGGGGAAAAAAGAGAAATCCAAAGTAAAGAAAATCAATTAATGACTAAATGTATAACATGATGATGATGATCATGATGATAATAAGAAATAAATGAATGATACAATTAGAACATTACCCGAATACCATTAGTGATTAACTGAAATAAACAAATTCATAAACATTTATAGATAATAAATTAAAATGATTTTTAACTTAATAAATACAATAATTCAAATGATTACATGAATTATCATACTTACCATCACAGCATAATCAAGACTACGAATTAAACGTCGTTTAAGACGTTCTCTTTTAGAAGATGTATCAATGGGAATAGGTGTAATTGCTTCTGTGGATTGACTATGACTAGAAGATTCTGGTATACATGTATCCCGGCTAGTGGAATCTTCATCTATTCTACTGTAATCATCACTTGTTAGATTGAGAAAACGTCTGGATCTACGAGCAACAGAGCATTTCTTTTCGATTTCTGCACGAGCAGCTCTTGCTTCTGCTTTTTTAGCTTCTCGCATTAGTCTTCTTTTTACTAAAAGACGACGTTGTTGACGTAAAGATCGTCGGATACTTCCTTCAGTAGTTGGTCCATTTTGATTTGTGTCTGTATGACCAGAAGAAAGAGATGCTTCTCCAACATCATAAAAAGAAGTTAGATCTTCATTTGTTTCATCATTATCAAGATCCATCTCTGTAAGATTCAAAATGTTTGAACTCAATTGTTCAGTATCATTGGAAGCTAATACATCATTTGTGTTAACTTGACGTCTAGTTCTTCGACGACGTTGCCGACTCCACCAGCCAATATCAACATCGATATGAGCTGACCATTCAGATTCTTCAGATGAATCATCTTGATCATCAGCATCATCTTGTTCATCCATCGGAGATAAAATCGAGTTTGAAATTTGATTTGATTTATTTTGAGGTACTGTTTCAGATCTAGTTGATACACGTAGAGTCTTAGTCGAATTTACTTCATTCTAAAAACATTATGAATCAAATAATATTGTACAATAATCATCAAACTAGAATAATCATCTAAAGGAGAAGTAATGTCATGTTCAAATAAATAAAAAACTAAGACAATGACAAACATTAATGTAAAATGACATTTATTATTGACAACCATTATTGATTTTGTACTCGTTATTTTAAACTGGAAATACTCAATAACGTCTAAGTGCATCCACTAATGATCATCGCAAGATTCTCAACATACTACTAATAATTCAGAGAAACTTATGAAAATACACTATTGCTATTTTGTATAGAATATAAAGTATTTATAATTGATTGATCAGTGGGTTATGATCAAAGTCATGTGTGTCAAGTGCTTCCTGGTGCATATCGAGTTCTATCGACAAAGTTGCAATGTGCTCACTGGTCTATGTGACTTAACATCGCGTACATTATGTTCAGATGTAAGGTGATGGTTGGAGGTAGACGATAGGGTACCCTGTACCAAGGTTTCCTGCTATTCGACACTCGTCATCAAGGTGTGACTGTAATATTTAAAGAAAAGCCAGGGAGGATCAATTCCCTCAATATTATTCCAAGAGTACCAACACCTTACAAAATCTAAAGCAATTTAATTAGTCTAAAAAATTCGCAAAATACGACAAATTCAGCCATTGTATTTTGTTGATTTTTCTTCAGTTGCACACAAGTTAATAATGGCCATGCGACTCACGCATGCTAATCCGCGTATAGACAAACTACATAATATAAACCTAGAGTACGAACGAGTCTAATAATCTTCATGATTAATTAACTGGCTTGATGACCAACTAACAATCTGGGATTGACTTGTAAAAAATGACTGCATGTAGAGCAAAGGATACTCTTGAATTTGCAGAAGTAGCAGACCAAAAAAATGTAACTAATAATTTGATGGTCTCAAGAGATACGTATTCACTGTTTCACTTATATACTTTTGGAGGAACTAATTGACCAATATTAACCAACATTCAAAACGTATATCCATACTACAAATGCAACTCAAACAATTGATATGAATAATTGAAAAGTTCAGTTTCAATAAGATAACTATATATACTATTAAACAAATGGTATGGCTATGCGAAATTTTATTGGGACTGGTTCTTGCTGATATATTCGTTGCCAATTCGGAAAATAAATTACCAGGCGGTATTAGTGAGACTGTACTGTGTAAGGTAGGTTGGTGATACTTTTGTTTGTGTAACGACATAAATCTTATGTGACAAAGTTTATCAGTTTAGGCATTCTGTAACAGTCTCCTTAAACAAGTATAAAAACCTTGTAACTTTAATTCCTAACTTCTTCATTGCAAATATTTTAATGGTTAATGGCAATTCATTTCTTTAAATTGAACATTACATTAATAGTTAGTGAGGGATTATGGGAATTATAGGATTTCATTGAAATCATGAATAGATCTAAGTTGAACCACTACTAAAAATGGACAGCCATTTTAGAATAGTAAGGGACGCCGCAGAAGCGCTTATCCAAGACCCTGAACGTGGAAATCGAACTCGAAACCTTAGGTCTCGCGCGTGAACGCCTAACCTCTAGACGATTGAGTCAGCATCCATTAGTATTAATGTTTAAATTCAATCAATCCAATACAATGTGCAATTGTCTTCTATTGTTATTGATGGATAACTGTCTCACACTTGACATAGGTTCACCCCACTTGTCAAAGCCTCTCACTAAAAACTCCGGAAATTTCATCCAGAAGCTATATTAATGACAAATAGTTACTAAACCTATTAGCTTGTATGTGTGTAGCTGAAGAGGGAAGGCGATGAAATACGATGAATGAATTCATTGTGCTCTGCAGATATTGCCGTTCTTGGTTTGTTTAAATTTGTAAAAGAAATGATTTGTATGAAAATTAATTAGATTATTTTCAATTAATTATCAATACGATATTTCACACTGACTGATCAATGACTGGTGGTCGGTGTTCAAGAAGTATCAGTTTCCTTAAGATTACAGGTAAGCGTCGCTGACGATTGTTAACTAGATGAAAAATTAGCCCGTGATAACTAGATCTAATCAACTAACATTAATATGATACTTGATTTAGAAAGTTATTCTTTAATTGACTTGTGACTGACAGGAATAAACACTTCATACGACATGTTTACGATACAAGTATTATCATGAATATATACAGTGAATATTACTTTCATCAAATTATTAAACAGAGAAAGCAGGAGGTAATCAGAATCTCATCTTTTTGTACGTGTTGTTATCGTTGTCGTGCTTGATATGAACAACGTACATATTAATAATGATTCATAACGCTGAAGCTGACACTTGCAGAATAGTGAACCATTTTTCTATATAGTGAAATAAGTCATATTAATTCAATGCATCATAATCCAAAAGCATGAAACACAAAACACACATATTAACAAAATATGAATCTAGAAAGGAAAACAACCGAAAAAAAAAACGAGGAACTTTGTTCAACTAACTCTTGTCTTCCTTAAATATGTATGGAGAAATGATGGACCAGCAATACTGGAACTGTTCGATTCATTCAATATATCATCGGAAATATTATTTAATTGATTTGAACAATGATTTTTCACCAGTGATGCATCTGTTTCTTTATTTTCTTTGATAATAATAGTTGATGACAGATTAGTGGTTATATGATTACTTTCATTATTGTAATGTACTGATGATGATGATGATGAAAGAGAAGAGGATTTTTGACAAGATATTTGTGATTGGCGGAAACAATTACGTTCTGGTTGCATAATAATAATTTGTTCAGTTGAATGTTTTGAACTATTAAACTATCAGGAAGAGAGTGAAAGAAAACGAAATGAATGAATAGTAATCCAATCCATTGATTTGAATTACAAAACAAAAGTTCCTACGACATCATGTTCATACTGTATATTTTCAAACACAATTGGAACTTCTTATGTGTATGAAGGATTACAGCAATGTATCCATTCAAAAGTGCTCGGTTAAAAAAAGTCGCATCAAGAAGGCACATATTAATAAAGGTGAGCATAGAAAGGGAGAATAACATTTGTAATGATGTGAAATCTCTCTCTCTCTCTCTCTATTCTATGACAAATCAAAAATGTGGTTTCTTAAACGTCTAATGAAACGGTTACTTTCAGCAAATGCTGTAATTTATCGAATTTGGTAACAAATTGCTATTTTTATTACCTTAGTTATGTTATCTCGTGCATATATTTCGAACAGCTAGGAAGGAGTATATTTAGAAAGATGCTTTTAAAAATTCCTGAAAAATATGTGGCGAGATTCATTTTGAATAAGCTTTGGATGCTAAAGCATAACTTTTTGACAAATTAAAAAATAACGTGCTATTCCACGAAGATAGACTAGTGTAGATCTATCTTCGTAATCTCCTAGTTTGATACGTACTGCTACATCCTTATACTTTACAAATTGCTGGACTCCTGAAATAGACTGTTCAATTCTCAATCCGTTTAGACTGTTCTTTTTTTCAGAGCACGAATAAACTTCCACGTACTTGGGTAAACAGCACCAATAGGCTGGCTAAAGCCTCTATGTCGTGTACCATTGCATTGTTCGCATTAGGAATGACTTCCATAAGAGAGGGCGAATCGATTCATATTTCAAATCATTACAAATAGTATTCCCCCTTTCAATGCTCAACTTTAATAACATGTGCCTCTTAGATGGTCATCTTTATCAGTGTGAACCTTGTGGTACAATATGAGTACTTTAATTAAAGTCTGAATAGCTAAGTTGATATCATTAAATGATGAATGTCAAAATAAAAATAAACTTCAAATAACCAATCTTTGTATGAAAACTTACAGAAGGACTGTGTTAGCAGGTCATGGATTGAATTAATATATGTTCCATGCAGGATGATTCTGAGGCACGCTGATTGACCCATTTCTTAGTCAATCAGCGCTAGAAGAAATATGTGTATAAAAGATAAATTTACTAACAGTTTTCTCACTGCGATGGCCATTCCCAACTAACTTTTTTATTTAAAATATAATTCGTTCCTGTTATTATTTTGGGTACTTTTCAAATGAAGCAAAGTGTCTGAATAATATTAAGTAATAGGAGCAGTCGGGTCTTAAAAAAAGGTCTTAACAGACTGAATGTAAGTAGAAATGCAATATTACATCAGAATTAACTAAGTTCGTAAAACCTCTTTATTAAAATCTAATCAATGATGAACAATCGAGAACACAGTGAATACAATCTATATTACAACATCTTCGTATACCCTATGAAACCACTAAGTGATAAGCGCTGGATTAGAGCATAAAACAAAGGAATAGTCAAATATGAAAAATTGGTTGACAAAATTTAGATCCTCAAAGAACCTCAATGATTTAAATCCGTGTTACCCACATCGAAGTGCTATACGGGTTAGCGAAGGAATAGACGGACAACGGAATAACAGATATATATATGAAATCAGTTTGTGAGGTCGTTCATTGACTCCTAATGCAAGCCATGCGTATTGGTGTAGAGTTCTTGGTTTGAACCCGCATATAATAACTGTAATTTATGCTTATAGAAAGTTAATTAAATAATTAACAATTAACAGTAGGTACATTCATTCCTATTGCTTCGCATAAAAATAGAATACAGTAACATTCAATACTTTCAACTTTTGACAAATAATATTTACGTTTTTGCATAAAATATTTCATCAGTATGAATAACACATACTTCACAAACGTTTCTTACCTCGTCTCCAAAAGACACAACAGGTTCACCACCGGCAGAAAAGAAGTTTCTTTCATCTTCATAACGTTGTTGCTGTTCAACGAACTTTAAACTGAAAGGAATTAATTTACATTTTCAGTAACGAGTTAACAAGAAACATGGAAAAATTCAGTTATAATGTATATGGGAGTAAACACTTATTAATTAAAAATTTGTTTACTTGGTTTTGAGTTAGTCGAAGTGTGATAGATATTAATACTAGCAGAACAGTGTGTTTCGAACCTGAAACCAAGTACTCATTGGCATTAAACACCGGTTAGTTGGAGAACAGTAAAAATAAAAGTGGCAAACTTAAGGTCCTAGGCTGATTTCACTGAGATATCATGACAGCTAGGTACTTCTCTCAAACAACCTTGTTACAAAGAAGGAATGGATTAGAAAAGGTCAGAACTCATAGAGTACAACTTAGTGGTGAGAAAGTTAGGAATATATTTCAGTAACAACTAGACGATGAGCTAGTCAACCGTGAAAAATATATCCTGACATAGCTTGGTGTGATATCTGAAAAGCTGTAGAAACAGCAGTAATATCTGCTAGTAACTTTAACCAAAAGGTTAGAAAAATCAGCAGCGTATACAGAACTGATAAACCCTCGGAAACTCACTCCATCTAACACTGAACACGATGAGAAGCAGAGGCAGCTTAAACATAGGTTGATAAAAAGTCTACGTAATGATCGTGAGCAGTGGTGGGTGGCGAATTATAAGAGATGGGAAAGATAGAAGCGATAGGTAACAGTATACAATTGTTCACACTTATTAAGGAAACGCGTGTTGAAAATCCAGCTGTTAGTGAAAATTTCTCGGAAAAAATGGGACTATTATTCACTTTCAATCCTGGAGATTGAAACTATTAGCAGAACACCTTGGTACACAGTCCAACTGGCCTCCAGTCACACTTCAATTGCCCACTATATCCAAACAACTTGAATGGCAAATTGATGTAAGCCCTTCAACTCTTAGTGAGGTTGAAAGGGCGAAAAGTAATATAAAGCAATTAAAACCAGCAGGACCTGATGGACTAAACCCTGAGATTTTTAATGATAGTGGCCTAGTCTTTTCAGCTAGGTTAAGTGAGATTTTAGCCAAAATCTGGGAACTGAACGTAATCCCATCTAACTGGTTTCGATCACTGATAGTCCCAGTCCGTAATAAATGACAATAATCCTCTTGCGACAATCAGAGAGGAATCAGTTTACATAGTATTGTGTCTCAAATATTAGCCTCGATAGTACTTCAACGTCTAACTAGAGTATCATGAAGAGCGAACCCGAAAAAAACAGGTTGATTTCAGACTTAGACGTAAATGTATAGACGAAATATTAACCCTTTGGAAGGTTCTAAAACACAGACATAGTTTTCGACGTCCGACCATAGTTAAATTCCTTGACCTTAAGGCGGCGTTCGATTTTGTTGATCGTGAGGGTCTGTGGCAATGTCTGTCATTGAAAGGTATACCAAAGAATAATGTTAGAATTGTACAAGCTCTCGATTCGAACACCACTAGTCGAGTCAACTTATGGCGGACTGTGATTGGAATTGGCTCGTCAGGGTTGCCCGCTCTTCCCATTTTTATATAACTTTGTCATATACATGGTTTTAGAGAAAACACTCTCATAGTTTGACTTTTCAGGAGTTTATATTCAATCAGAAGATTCACTTGTTGACATACAAAACACAGATGATATTCCTGTTTAGTGGAGACTCCGAATAAAGATAGTCTTCTGACCACCTTAAGCAACAATGCAAACATGTTTGGTATTCGGTTCAATCCCTCCAAATGTGAAATGTCACTTCAGGATTGGTTTGCGTCACGACCTGAATTAGTGATGGGAAGTGAAGTATTCAAACACATAAACCACTTCACTTATCTTATGAGTCTCAACAGTACTGATGAGATCTCGACAGAGATTTAAAAGGCTCGATTGCCTTTTCCCGACTTGCATCACTTGTGGAGTAGGCGAGACATTTGTCTGTCAATTCAAGAGTGGGTTCACTACGCATCAGTTCTCCCCGTTCTGTTTTATGAGGTAATTAATCTGCATCAACTGAGGTGGTTTGGACATATGTTACGTATGCCCGACCACTGCCTACCACGACTGGTGTAGTCTTGTGTAGAAGCAAGCAACCAAGCCAAAACATAGTATAAGTCCTTGGAGTCACTGGCAATTTAACTTAACCCTGTAAGTAGGTACAGACCACCTAGTTGGGGTCGGCATGATTATCGTAGTCAATGGTTAGACTTTGGATGACATGGACTGCAATTATACAAGTGTATCCATTCTTTATCTTCCCATAAATCCTGATATTCTAAATTTACCACAGCCCTTTTTGTTTTGTTAATTTTGCTAAGTTTGAAGCGGTTACAAGTTCACATAGACTGCGAACGGAACAAAGACTCGGTGACCAAAGACCAACAAACTAGCTATTCGATGTGTCCCAGCCCCTCTAACTGGAGGAAGAAGTCCAAACTTGGAATGGGGAATTATATTCCGCAAACAGTCAGAAACGAGCGATAACAACAAACACAAATCAAAACGTATATATACAGTACAAATCCGTCCTTCGAGAGAGTTACAAAATAGTATACTAAAAGACACAACGGACCAATAGCATTTAAGATTCTCCGATGTGGGAAGTATGACATGAAGGTGAAAAGAGCACTTTTGGAGCGAAAACAAAGAAATTCAAATTCTCTAAATAAAATTACAAAATTAGGTCCCTTTCCAAGTGAGTTCTGACGATCTAACGTCCCCAACAAATTTATATTTACTTTTCACAGGTTGAAATCATGAGTCGATTGAAGCTAGACCACCATGGAAAACCTGGAAGCACTGGACGGCCGTTTCATCCTAGTATGGGACTCCTCAGCAGTGCGCACCCACGATCCCGTGCCACGCGGGGTTCGAACCCAGGACCTACTAGTTTCGCGTGCGAGCACTTAACCACTAGACCACTGAGACGGCATCCAACGGTGTTACTGTCTAACTTCAACCAATCCACGAAGTTGAGCCACCGTACACCATTGTCTTCAGTGAGTTGTTATCTCACAACAGACCTGGTTGAACTCCAGTGGAGTTAGACATTAACACCGTTGGATGCCGTCTCAGTGGTCTAGTGATTAAGTGCTCGCACGCGAAACCAGTAGGTCCTAGGTTCGAACCCCGCGTGGCACGGGATCGTGGGTGCGCACTGCTGAGGAGTCCCATACTAGGATGAAACGGCCGTCCAGTGCTTCCAGGTTTTCCATGGTGGTCTAGCTTCAATCGACTCATGATTTCAACCTGTGAAATTTCCAAAACTCTCCACAAAATCTAATCTGATTATATTTACTTTCCTAGTCGTATCTTCGATGCTTGATCTTTCCTACAACCACTGATCCTATTACTACCTCTAACATTGAGATTTTCCTGACAACTTCATTTCTCTGTGCTAATGGGGGTATGGGAACTTGAACCGATGTATATGAGTACAGGTTCTATATTGTGACTGATGGACAAATCTGAAAACAGGATTTACCTTGTTCATGAGTGATACAATCATTAAAAAATGTGAAATAATCAAAGTTCAAATAAGTTTACCACAAATATAAATCCCTTTGATAAATTTCGACAATGTAATAAGAAGACGAAGATTATCAGAACATAGTTCTGAAAGTTCTAGTAGTTCATATTTAAACTTAATGTAAATGCATTAGCGAATATGGCTATTATAAATATAGATTAGACAACATCTATAGGTGACATCCTTGTAGATTCAAATAAGTTTACTATTAGAAAGATTTGAGTCAGTTACCATAAATACAAATCTAATATATGTATAAGGAATTTCCGAATAGTCGCTTTCACTGATAAACATGATTTTCACATTTTACATCAAAAAAGAGAAATGATGAAAGAAACAAAAAGCTGAACATAAACGGTCTCTTGATCAGTCCAGGATGTCATATCTCAAAAATATTACAGAGACGTGAAATTGACAGAATGAACAGCAAGAGTCAAAATAGCATTACAACCAACGATAGTAAGACTCAGCATTTAGAATATAGTTCAAAAAGAATATATACATGAAGGAATATTGAAACCTAAGATTAAGAAAAACGTACATATGCGCCATAGTGACCGATTTTCGGTCTAATCACCCAATCTTTCTATTCACTGAACGCCATTATTTTACGGACTCCAACTGGGTGATTTGGACCTATTAACAAGCTTCAGTTCAACAATCCCTGATTCTATAGATATAAAAAATGACTACCCACGCACAAATTAATAAAGTTGTCAAACAAAAACGTCTAAAATTAAAAATGTACAATTGACAATGATAATGAGAGATAGATATAAATACCTACTTCAATTCATTTGAATCCAAAGGTTCTATCAATGGTGTTTTATTAGTTAACCATGGTGAACACCATAGATAATTTTTACCATAAATCGGTTGAGTACTAGATAATTCAGGTGTTGGACAATAATCAATTGGAACATTTGAACAAAATTGAATATCATCCACAACAATATCTTCACCAGCTAAATAAATAATGGAATAAAGAAGGGTTAGGAAAATAAACAAGAAACAACTACATGTTAGATTAATTCTACAAATATTTTTATAATGTAAATGAGATTAACGTACTGTTCTGGCTAGTAGTCTGCTATGTAGACTTTATCAATCCCAACTGATCAGGACGTTGCCGAATGTAGAATGGATATCTTTTCTATTGTTAAATTCAGTTAATTTTAAAACCTTTTATACCTTCACTGAATTCAAAATATTTTTTAAGGCCTTAATATATACAAGAGTAGTTGCTCAGGGATTAAGGTAATCGACTTTTAATCACCCTGCTCTACATACTCTCGTTCGATCAATTGAGTAGTGTATCACTAGCCTTCATATTTAGAGGGTGGTTTAAAATCAAGTATACAAACCTGTATTTAGTAAATGAGTTATTCATTAATAACTAACAGTGATAACATCAATTATTGATTAGGGTCGAATATGCATGAACCAATTCATTAATGAATTCTTCTATCCGTATATTTTCATTGTACTAATTAATTTATTATGATTTTGCATTCAATTAATACAATTATCCAGTATGATGAATTCTTTAATTGATAATTATCGCTTTGTAATTGAATTAATTTGGATAGAAATTGAAATCTTCTAATGGTTTCTTTCAATAAAACTTGAACTTCTCTATCTCTTTTATATGTGTGTGGATCATTAATGTTGAAGTTTTGTAATGTGTTAATCGTCCGGTCTATGTAATTCGCATAGATCCTATCAGTTAATAGAAGAACCTTTTAAATTACTGAATCCCATTAAAACAACAACAACAACAGATTACAAGACACATTCAACATGATTTTAAAAAATCCATTATCAGTTACTTGAAAATACTACTACAGTTTCAATTACTCACTTTCTTCATCTAATGCGACTGATGGTAATAAATCTGATGGTTGTATTAAATGACTACGACCTGGTATTTGTAACTGACGTTTTGATGGATATGGGAATCCTCTTAAATTAGTCAAATAACCCGGTGGTAATCGATGAAATGGTACACCGCTAGGTGCATGTATAATTTCATATAGTACAGCTGGAGGAGGTCTATAACGAATGATTCGACCAGAATTATTATTATCATTTTCATTGTTATGATTATTAATTAATTCCCTATGATGATTATTTTGTGAATTTTCTCGTGATAAATTAACTCGACCGTTTGATGGTGAATTAGCTGACTGTTGAGCTGGTGGACTTCCTAACGCCTGTAGAGTATTTTCATAGATACGAAGTACGTTAGAATTAAAATTACTATCGTTATTAGTAGTATTACTACTACTAGGATCGGGTACAACTTCTCTCCATTCCGCTGTATCCAATTCCCAATGAAGAAACTGTTCATCAACTGGTGATGGCTGGAAAAAAAGTGGCAGGTAAATGAAAAAATGGTAGTAATAGTAATAATAATAATAATGATAATAATAATATTAATAACTTGTAGGATATCTTCAGCAAATTTAACAGAAAAAGGAAACAGTAAATAGCAAAGATCAAAGTGTTTAATGTTTCGCTTCATCACACTGTTCAATGAACGATTACTACTTATAATCTTACTATCTCTACCACTACGGGATTTGAATTGACAACTGCATCTCTGTGCTAGTGTGGTATGGCAACTCCAACTGATGTACGTACGTACGAAGTTTTGCGTTGTTACTGACTGACTGACTGAGAAATTCATTGTATATAATTATCTAGTCACTTATTCATGTTACTTCGAGACAACACGCAGTCGAATGGCATAAAACTTGCTTGTACAAAGTTTACATGAGATTCAATCATCATAAAATATTCATTTGTACAGCCATTTATTATTGTTATATACTATATAAAATGATGTAAACTTTTAGATTAGAATCAATAAAATAATCGTACGCTATAATTAGAGAAGTTATAAGTGATATGAATTCTAATAGGTCACAGTGTAATAGATTCCCTCATTTCTCTCTTATTTCCATGACATCATTAGCTTAGTAATATCCATTTATACTTCTCACTGTTAACTTTTATTCATTCTTTTTTTTGTAATACATCTCTTTTAAATACATTTCTATGACTTTTATTTCTATTGTAGTTACGTATCTATAAATTGTCTTGTAATTGTTGATGAATATAAACAACAAACTTATGTCAAAAACTTTGTTATTTATGTAGATAATTAAGTCTAATAAGCAAAAAAGAGACTATTGTAAGTTGATTGGTGATATCCTAGTCAGTCAGAGACAACGTAGAACTTCGTACGTACGTATATCAGTTCGAGTTGCCATAGAAAAATATATTTGTAATAGAGTAAACAATTAAAATTTAATAAACAGTTTAGTAGCCATTAATTTACTTAAACAATAAAGGAGTGAATGGCCAATAAATGATAACTACATTATTCAGATTCTTAATTATAAGAGTGAAGATTTCAAATGGCTCTCTGTTGGAAAAAATAACCAGTAAATTCATAATGCTTTATGCCTCCCTGTCTTTTTGAATAAGTAGAAAACTAGGCAATATATAAACACATAAAATCTTACCTGTATATTATATTTACATGATGAATCAGTTGTTGTAGACTCGTCTGCCGGAGAGAATAAAGACATAACACCACTTTTAGTAACCACAAGAAATCCAACACCTTCAATGGTAGGTATTGCACGACAAGCGGTTATCCTTTGCATTTTTGTACTAGACAATGAACTTGTTCTAGTAGCAGTATTATTCAACTGAGAACGAGATCCTGTCAATGCACGATGAGAAGATGCACTATTAGCATAATTGTTACTACTACTAACAGTGCTATTAGTAGTATTGTCAGTTAGCAAATCAATTGTGTGATTTGACTGATCTAATGCAGATAATTGTAGGTTATCACGAGTAGTTCTACGATTAACTGCAGTTGTATTTGCACCAGACCATATAGGTTGATCATCTGGTGGATTGTCAAAACGCCATACTAATCCTTGTATGATATCTAAATCACCAGGAGGAAATCGATAATGGAATAATAAAGGTTTATCTATTGATTGGTGATTATCTTCATCATGTTGTGGGTTTTGTTGAAAACGCCGAAGATTTGAAATATTCCACAGTTGAAAACGACCATCAACTCCACCTGTAGCTAAAATATTCTCATCAAATGGTGATGGTGATACAGCGTGAATTGCACCTTCATGTCCCTTGGTTGGCATTTTTTTAGGAACATAAAAAATGAAAATTAAAACTATTAAGCATACGTAAAACATTTAAGGTAGTCTTTCAAAAGAGAAATGAATAAGCAATGTTTTACTGAAGTAGTTAGTTAATCTAATTTAGAAAGAATAATATAAACAAGAAATTATCTGGTATAATGGAAATGTACGTTATATTTACTACAAGTAAACTTTGGTACAATTATCAAAATAAAATATAGGCTATACAGAATAAGAAGTGATAAACGTGTGAGGAGATAAACAAAGGGAAATCGTGATGGGTTGACAATTGTCATTAATCCTACATATTTTTTTATAATGCCGTGACTTTATGTCATAATCTGAACGCCTTTCAGATTTTCTATGCAGTCCTAGAATTGGTGATTAATGAACAATGTAGAAACCACTAGAATAACATTTGCAAAACATGTCAGTCAGTCATTTAGCCAGCTACAATGTAGGACTAGGTACATATATGCATCGATCCAAGTTACATCTCATTAGCACAACAAGATGAATACCAGATTCATAGAAGTAGTTACTTCAATGGTAGTAATATATAAAAGAAAGATTGCATATAATGACATAGTACAGGAAGAAGAAATTAGTTCGTAGAAAGAAAGATATGAAGTGATGTTAATCCTATAGTTTAAAGGAAGACAGAGAGTGTATGCAACTACGCCATTGTGATCGATTTTGAGCCATATCACCCAGAGTCTCCAAGCGTTGGTTACGATAGTCACGCGGACACCAACCAAGTAGTCTGCATCTACCAACATGGCTTAGACTAATACTCTGCGTCTAACCTCACTATTACTTACCCGGTGATCACAGCAGATGCGAGCAAAAACATGTCCAAATCACTGAAGTTGGTGTCACAAAATGGTGACACTAATCGACTTATCATCACTGCCTCTAAGCACACATTCTTGAATTTCAGCATTAATAGTGTTGCCAAGTGATAACATAAATACTTCGGATGATCAGATAAAGAGGGTCATTGGATATCTTTATTTTGGAGATGTCAGGTTTCATAAACATACAGAAAGGCCACTCAACATTTTACAGCTAAACCAACATCAAGACAGTACTAAAAATGGAGCAGGTTGATATAAGACTCTCAGAAACTGTGGATTAATTTCATATCATTTTTTGCCATAACCTATAAGAAATATTCTGAGAATTTTTTCTTCAAAATATAAAAAAGAAAGTACTTCCACTAACAATGAGGAACTTACTTAAGTGACAGAGTAACCTTAAATTACATCGATGACTGAGAAAAGACGAGGAAAAACTTGACCACATAATGAGATTTGGAAAAGACTAATTACCGCAAACAATAAAGAAATATTTAGGTCCGGTTAAAAAAAAGTATCAATGTAAATAAATAATGAAATTTCATAAAACGTTATGTATAAATTCAATCTACTTCAATAATGGTGACCAATTGCCCACTATGACCAAAATATATATAAACTGATCCATTCTTCATTGAAGCAATTAAGTATTGATCATGTATTGACCAAATTAAAAGACAAGGTCGACATTTCACCCTGAAATAATTCATAAAATACAGAAACAATTATGCACAATGTCACTGAACGGAAAGTATATTCTATGTATAAATCCATCTAAAAAATCATTAATTTTAATGAAAGTAGGAATAATCAATTTCGTAGCCTGTTGACACAGTATTAAACACTACATGAATATAACAGATTAACATGAATTCATTTTATTTTATGATTTGTTCGTCAACATATGAACCATCTTTTCTAGTTCTTCTATATTTTTATTACTCTTCATGAGTTTTCATTGATGAGAACTTTTCCGATATTTGTAGGTGTCCATGCCAAGGTTGGACGTGATATTTTCATATATATTCCAATGAGTAGGAAAATTGTATTTCTGACGTTTCGTAAATATTTACTCTGAAGAAGTGGCTTACATTAAGTCACGAAACGTCAGAGATGCAATTATTCTACTCAAGATATAACAAAAAATATATATTTACTACTTTACGATATCATAACATATATGTACGCCGATTTCTAATTTGTAATCAGCTGATGAGCAGCCGTGAAATGTAAGTGAATTCATGTTAGTCTACTACATTCATCGTGCTTGTTTTCATCAAATTTACCAATGGGAAATGATGTATAAAGTTACTAACAAACTGCTGTTTTGTACCTATATACAGAACTCAACAACAACCGTAAATTTTAATTCATTCTTGTATTGATTGTTTGAAACCTCCCATTGATGTTTAGGACTGTAATTGGCCAATCTCTTACTGGCATATGTGCATCCTGCGCATGGCCTCGATATTGCCCCAAGTCACAAGCATTATATAAGTAAAGATAGATAGTAGCTAACAGTGGAATCTAGGACGCGAATTTTGTCCTATTTGAAACTTCACCCCATTGCACAAGCTAGTGGTTATCTGAACTTAGTAGCAAAGTGTATAACACGGCGTTTGGAGTCGAAGGTACTGGGTTTAAGTCCCAAAGTGATGCGGGTACATCCAGCTGAAGAATCCCAAACAGGAAGAAACGTGCGTCTTGCTCATAAAAGCATAAATCACATTTTCTAGTAACTGTAGTACTTCTATACAACAACACTCTACAGTGTGATAACAAAGATCGCTGTCAAAAAGATGATTACTACGTTGAATCTCTTGTTCTATAATTAAACGGCAATTTTGAAACTATTTAACGGGCGTTAAACTCTGTTATTTAATGATATCTGTCCAATGAAATAATTCACACTTTACATCTTATCTTTGGTGGCATTGTGTTCTCTGAGCTTAACTGTTTGACCGAGAAGTTTTCATTATCATCTTGGACGTCATTCGAAGGGTCTCAAAACCCTTGCAGAGATTTCTGAAATGAATTACATATACGGTAAGATAATCTAGTTTCGAGTTTCTAGGGTGATTTTGTGATGACACGTCTATTTTCCCGACAATCTTTGGCGAAGTTGTATGGATAGCCATTTTTACAGAAGACGGTTATGAAATGGATATTTTCAACCCTCAGAAGCTTTTCGTTTACAACCCAATACAACTTCATTGCATTTTATGGAGAAAAAGTACAACAGATAAGGAGGTTAAGTGAACCACTATCCACAAAATAGCATCTATTGGGCTCACTACGTCGGACAAAAAGCACACCCACCTTCACCAATGTATACATGAACATAAATTAACAGTGAAAAGACATGACATGCTACCAATTATTTCAATTCATACAACAATGATTGCAAATCTGATTGTGTAAATGTAAGAATTATGGACAGATGATTAGAGGTCAACTGAACAAAAGATTTAGCGAAAAATGGGAACGCAAAGATAATACAATCAATCGAGAAAAAGCTTATCAGAATGAAGTGATTTGGTGCATATGGACAAAATTTGAAAGACCCATTTCTATTTAAATTATGTTCTCACGATATGTTGTTCAGAATGGCAAAAATGCTTCACAAACAAGCCATTCATCTCAGAAAACGTAGCACCTAAAATGTAAGTTTCTTCCATTATTTTAAAATAGTTCATAGATGACAATCAAGCTTCAACAATCTATCAGCTCAAAAGGATAGATAATTAGTGGTTAAACCACTCTTCTAACGATGAGTAGATCCCATGTTCTAACCTAAGTGCATGTAATTTTATTTGCCTAGAAGAGTGTTATCACTAACCTGCAAACAAGCTGTGTAACTAGATGTGAGGTAAATCAGCGTGAACTCAATACATGAATTACACTACAAATATTATCTTAAGATTACTATTTCTCTAGAGTGTAACGCAGACAAGGTGTTGTGCAACTTTATACTTTTCTTACTTTCTAGATTTTCCGAGCAAATACAGATATTCTCTTTTTGGAAAAATGGAGTACGGATACTAATATTTTATGGAGTATATGTGCTGTTGCCTAACTAAATTCCATTAGTGTCCCACTAAACAACATAACTGAGTTGTTTTAGTTTCCACTTTTAACTTTTTCGTTCATGCAGTTTTTTCCAGAGTCTGAATTCAGCTGGAGGATATTAAACAGAATCGAATATACACAGAAGTGATTCAAAGCGCTTATCACATTTCAACACGTTTTGCCTTAGGAAAAAACATGATCATGTGGAATTTGACAAAAAAGTAGTTTTGATTTACACTACTCTATGTAGTCGACTATATTCTGGTATAGTAAAGTCTTCAAGAAACAGCTACTCCAGCTATTAAGTTTCAAACGGATTAGAATGACAGACAAACTGATCAATGTTAAGGCAGAGATTATGGTGTTGAACCCACTGAAGATAATTGAATTATGAGCAATAAATCCTGTGCATAAAATAAATAATCTATGAGAAAACTACTGTTAAACTGAACAACTAGAACAATTGGCAATAAAAAAATCCCAAAAGTACCTTTTACGAAATAGTAACGTCATACTTCTCCATTGACCTGCTTGAAATTTCCAAAGCCAACAACTTCCACCATCTGAACTGCCGGTGGCCAATTTTAAACCAGAATGACTGAATGCTACGCTATTGACACTTTCCTATTTTGTTGAACAGTAGTTTGTCAGTTTTTTCAACGTGTAGTTTTTAAAATTTGATTTTTAAGTAAAAAAAATAGATAAAAGATAGTAAAACACAGAAAAACAAAAAATAACGGAAAATACAAAACTTGATTTCTAAAATGAGTAAACTATGATTCTTCTAATCAATTATGAAACCCAATCATTGTGAGAAGCTTCGGTAGATTAGATTTTGGTACGACCTGGGGTGAAAAAACACAGCTCCTTCGCTGTTGCGATACGTTTACATACAACCATGCATTTATAGCCACAATCAAGGAAGTCCAGTTCACAGCCTTCAAGCGATAGGAATGCATGGTACTTACGAAAGTAAGAGGACAAAAAGCGAACGTACGAAATTTAAACTGAATTAACGGATACAAAAGATTATGTATTTATTTGATCACAAATATTGGTACAAAGGGGCACTGAACACATATGCGCCACACAAGTCACTTGAATTGTGTGTGGGCTAGGATACTGCCCGGATGCCCAAAGTGAAGTAGATGGTTTTTTAGGAGGCGACTGACCGAGCCTTTGACCTAGAGGTCTAATCCACAAGGCAGTAGAGCAACGTCAGAAGATGCAGTCCCATGGTAGACGGTGGTCAACAATATGTTTAGATGCCATTTGTTCCTTCAGGATCCCAAAGCTCATCTGCAGCGTTGGTTTGGGATCAGGGTTTTCCAACTCCCCTAGGTAGACACCCGTGTCCACCAACCTGGTTAAAGCGCCAGACATTCGCTTCTCATCTTCTCGATTTCGTGAACAACACTCCTGCGACGAGAAGGCAGTGAATAGGACTTCCTGGCAGTAGTCGTATTCACGTGACCATGTGAGAGCATTTCGAGAGGGAGAACTGACTCCTCCCACCCTAGGCCGTACCAGGGCATTTGGGAAAGTTGGAAAACCCTGTTATTAAACCGATGGTATACATGAGCCCCAGTATCCTGAGGAAACGAATGACAATATTAACTGAATTCCGATCGCCGGCTACAGTGGGATGGCATCTGGAATTTCTTCACTGACTTGAGGATTAGACCTCTAGGTCACAAACTCTGAGAATGGTTTCCTCAGAAAGCCACCTGGTTGGGTTTTGAGACAAGGCCAGTATTCCAGCTCACTTGTGTGGGACGTATAAATTCTGATGCCCCGCTATACCAGATTTTGTGAATAAAATAAGTTAACAAGAATTAGTATCGTAAAATAATAATTAACACTAATAGTATGAATTAAAGAAAGAAAAGTAAACTTTGCTCATGTATTTAAAATAACAGACTATGAAATGTCAGAGGATTTGGTGCAATATGACGAGAACAGATCCTAGGTCATTTTTCTCCAAGTATGTAGTAGTGAATAGATAAAATAATAATTAACTCATTTAGCAGGTACTTCGGTACGAGTCACAGGCAGAATATAGGGGTTAATGATACAATGAGATCGCTCAGACTAAAGTAGGTGGGGTGGGGTTTGAACTTGCGAGTTAGCGACTGAAACTCAGACACCTTGATCATTAAACCACTGCTCCAACTATCCACTTTCTTGTTTTACATTTGTATTGAATGAACAGGTAGGTGGTAACGGCATCTACTCTTGGTATTTTATAAAAAGTTTATAACCTACGTTGAGACTAATTAGAACAAAATCCAAATGAAGTCATCAGAAGAGCTGATACACTTTCATGTCTGTTTGTTGTTAGGAAAAAGGGAATGGTAATACAGTGAATTCTATGTATCAAATATAATGCGTGATGAAAAGAATGTCATATGAATTAAAATGATCATCAACGATTGTCTTTACAGGTGCATACGGCAGTTCATCACCGTTGGAAAATGTTTTACACATATTTTAATGTGTTTACATGTTAAACCTTAATATGACAGGAATTTGTCACAGTATTACACCTGTATGATGAAAACTCTTCATCGTAACCAAACATACAGTATTGAAACATAGTAGATTTTATTATGTCTTGTGTCTTTACAATAATCGCTATTATTGTGATTTCTTTAAAAAAAACAGCAGAGGAAATGAAATATGATTGAAGAAAGTCACAATAAAATATGTAAGGTGATTTTGGAGACGAATAAAGTATGCAAAGGGAATGATTTTTTATCTTGAATACTTACGATTCACAATTTCATAACCTTCCACTAACAACATAAACACGTGAACAAAGTCAATATAGAACAAACAACAGAAAATTGACAATCATAACATTTCAAGTTTATAACATAACACTTTATACTCACCTCATGAGCAGCCAGTACACCAGCTGGTTCGGGTTTGAGTGGATTCATGAACTGATACAAACGAATACGTTGATCTGAACAACCGGCTGCAACTAAGAGTCCACCTTAAATGATAAACAAATAATACAAAGCAAAGAATCATTCAAATTATACACTATAAATAGTCTTAAAATAAGTAATACGGGTACACAATACATTAGGCTTACTTGCACAAAACATAAATATTCTTATTCGTAGTGAGGCCCAAACAAAGATTAGAATAAGCAAGACCACGATTGAAGACTAAGAAGCACAGAACAGTCGTCTTACCTCAGTATGAAACTTCAGACTAAATCCATAGCTCTAATATTTTCTCATATGAAGTGAAACAAAGTTCAGCTCCAGAAGATACGCAACACACCATGACTGTCAGTTAACTTCGTCGGTAAACATTTTTATTGAGCTAAGTCAAAAGAAAACCTAAGGCTGCTGAAGGATTTAGATAAGCAGCTTTCAGTAACTTACTACGTGGCCTACTGACTAGACTGTAAAAACGTTAATTAAGCAATAATCTTACTTCAATCACTGACTGTTATGCCTAATGATTATACTGATGGAAGGCAAAAAGTTAAGCCAAGATGATGTGGGCTTAAGTCCTATAGCAATACAGATTTTCCTTTCAACTTCGATTAAAATTACTTCATATCTTTCTTTCCACGAACTAATTCTTTCTTCCTGTACTATATCCTTATTGCAATCTTTCTTTTATATATTATCACCTCTGAATTAACCACTTATATGAATCCGGTGTCCATCTTGTTGTGTTAATGAGGTATGGCAACTTGGACCGATGCATATATGTGCCTGATCCTACGTTGTAGCTGACTGACTGACTTCGATTATCATAATTGCATGCAAGTATCGATTTAAAAACCAACGTTATACTTATTACAAAGTCTAGTCAACAACTTAGTTTTAAAAGGTAACAAAATCAATAAAGAAAAACTATTTGGTCAACTCACCAGGACTGACATCAATACATGCAATGGATGGCCAATATATATTTGGTGTACCTTCAGGAGCTGTTGTAAAACGAATCGTAGGAAGTAGTTGGACAGCACAACAAATCCATCTATTTTCAGAATGATTAGCTACATTACCGAACTCATCGTCACGATGAGCATGATAAACGGTGTGAATATAAGGTATGATGTGAAGATAACCACCAAAGGATGATACTATGAGCATACCAGAAGGATGATTAACATCATTCGAATTCGATGAACCTATAAAAAAATTGCAAAATTTAGCTTAATGATACTTAGTCAACTTCACGAAGTAGCTGTGCTTAATTCAAATTGATTTACGATATTTCTACTCCATAATAATAACAACCAAGTTTTATCTCAACAGTTCAAACAGACTTATCGTCACCTTGACCCGCTGCTGTTAACTTAGAATAAATTCAAGCGAATTCTAAAGAACCAAAACAGAAAACCAGGTTATATCCAGTTGGTGAGTAAATATAAATAAAGTTTACAAGACCATAAGCATGGAAATTTACAATTATCTGGAACACATCTCTAAACCATCCTTAGTTCATAAATAGCAAGTGATATTCACTTCTTATAATGAGGATATGAAGTTTTGTAGTGAACGAACACCCAGGTGGGGAAGACCAACCTATTGTTTAATGCAAAACTATAATGCTTTCGTAAAATATGGAAACCATACATCAAATCCATAATCCGCATGTCCTTCATCTGTCGTTCTTTACACGCTCCACGATTCTTTTAATCCCATTGTTATTACGACTACTTTCCGTTAATATTGATATTTAAACAATCAGACTGAGTTAAATATATTGTGCGAGGGTTTGTCTTAGTACAGAAAAATAAACATTCCACAAGTACAAATCACTAGTTTAATGCTAGTCAACTAAAAGGATGTATTATCTTTTTTTGTACTCTCAAAACTACAATTTTACTAGTGACAACCAACATTATTGCAAAACAGTAACTATTTTGAAGTTCATTAGTTGTGATTCCTGACACTATATGATTAAAACAATACCACTCCTATCAATAAACTGATTATTTGATACACTCACGTGTACTTTACGACTACTTTTAACGAGTCACCACATGTAATGGATGAGGATACAGGCTTCTCTTAGCCCTGTGAAAGTACTTTCCATTCAGAATGGGAAAATTATATGCTATACTTACGAACACTTGCAAACTGATTAAGTGAAACTTGTATAGATTGTGTATTATTGTACAGTCAGACGATTTCATCCCCTTGTCCAAGGTTGAAACGTTTGTTAGGAGGTAACAGACCTCTACACCAACACCACCGCCACTACCTACTTCCTATAGAGATGCCTTCCTAAAATTTGGGAGGAATAGTGAGGTTCGGCAAACCCACTTGATACCATTGCTAGATTGAGACAACTGAGAGGTGACATGCCCCCACTTTGCCTAACGTTTGTATAAAGATGACAGTAGACTTCTCAAGCACTTTTTCAACACAACCTTGAAGAGGGTTGAAAGTAGAACATTTGGCCCTCATGAATTGCAGCATTTCAGAGTTTGAAGTCCTTTGTGAGCCTCTACTTTGTTGGGTAGATCAGCCGTTAACGTTCGGGGAGAAAAGGATGGTTTGATCGATGTTTCTGGGGTAACAGACCAACTTGATTTTCCTTAGAATAACTCTAGCCAGTGTCCGAGACGTTTCGGATGTTACTAGCTAGCATCACATCAACATTACAAATTGTTTAACTGACATGAGAATTCTCAGCTATTGGCTTAAGCGAGCTGCGTCAGCTTCTATAAGTTATCAAAGACAGTCGCTGCTTCCAACTTATTAGCACTCTCCAAGAATCAAGTTTTTCGGTCCTTACGCAAGGCTTGTGAGATTTCCTGATGCAAGGATTTAATGACATCTATCAAAGTCGTAGTTTGTCGGATTACACCAACCTGTCTCACAGTCATGAGGAGTCTTCAGGAACTCCACGATTACAAGCGGTAGCCAGCCTTGAACCTAACTCCGTTTGATATTTAGCCGATATCAAGTCATTGACGCCCAAAAGTTTGCCAACCATAAACAGAACAAAGTAAATATATCAGCCAAATTCTAACATTACCAAGATTACTTTCAGCATCATCACCAACCCTGATTTTGACAGTGATTAGTTCTAGACTATTCACGAATAAGGAAACATTTTTATAATCCACCTATGACCTATTTTATTTTTTGTCTTTAGCCCACTTTACATATATCACACATTCCCTCATACATGAGCAATTTCATGTTCATGATCTACAGGATTGAGTCTCCTGAAAGATCAATTCTAACATCATAAGCCAATTCTCTTCATTTTAAAGTGACAGTACGCAATTTAGCTTGTGAAACTTATTAAAACTAAGGTCAAATTTTTATCAAAAACACCGATTATTTCCACTCGAGAAAATAAGGATGGGTTGCAAAAACGAAAAAACTGACTAAATCATACAGTCGAGAACAACAAGTTGACATTTTGAGACGAAGAAAACACTAATAGGCAATCTGATACTTTTTACCTTTGTTCATTGGCTCCAATGTTTTAGGTACATTGAGGAAAGCGAGACCAGACAGTACCCGATTATTACGTGATCCACGAACAGCTACTACTGGTTGTCCAGTTTTCAGGCACCATATTACTAGACAGCAGTTGGAATCTATTGATGCGAGTAAATGGTTATCGATAGATACAGTTAGTTCAATTATTTCAGCAACATGACCTCGAAGAGTGTGGCGTAGGGTACATGACGGTGTACTTGATCCTTTTACAGACCAGATTTTAATGGTGTAATCGTCGGATCCCTGAAACAATGGGACATTGAAGTGGAAATTAAAATGTCTCCGCAATAATTAAGTACTGTTAAAGACCATAATCAAACTAAGTAGCTTAATAAACACCGGGATTTTGGTCAGCCTGATTTTGTGATAAGACAAAGTCAAATGATTTGCAAACAAATAATACAGTGCATGTAGTCATATGATTAACCTTGTCCGAGTTGTGGTAGAATGATGGCGAAAAGGCTGCTTCCATGGACGTATCATACTAACTGTCGATGAATTTAGTGATTAATGTCATATCCTAATCCAGAAACCACTAGCATTCTACCAATTTAGTTTTGTCCCAAGCTGAATTGGGGCCATACGTCAAAAAGCCTAATAGTTTGGCTGAGTAAAGAAAACACATCGGTTAACAAAAGTATATGCAGTGGAGTATATGGGGACGCAACAAACTACCAACGCTATATTCTATTAGAAATACTTGATTTACTTTCAGATTGTTTGATGTTTCTATCGTTGCGAGACAACCCCAAACAAATCGGTCTAGTTATCTTTGCAAGTACTTAAATATAAACTAAAGAACATGATACACCAGAGCCAATCAAAGAAGTAGTTTGTTGAAAGGGTAGAGGTAAACATCCGAGTTTTAAAGAATCCCTCGACATTATTTATAAAAAGATACAACCTTGATAAATATTTTGCCCAATACTCATTTCAAGTATCTGAAATAAGAGCACTGCAAACAGTGTGCATTACTTATAAAACAATGAAGCCCGTGGAGTTAACAAACCGAAATAATTCAATTAAACTTGTGCAGGAACAAAACATTGTTAAACCTACTGTGAAAGCGTAATTCCCACGCTTATCAAACTCTAAACAATAAATTGCCGTACGGTGAGCAAGAATGTGGAACTGCAACTTTGAATGCTGATGCAAGTGGTTTATTAAAGGCCTCCGTAATTTTTTGTGATCTTTCGAGACTATATGAAGATCTAAAAGCATATAAAATAAGTGTTTAAAACAAGCAACCTGTGCGCCTTATGCTGAAAGATTTTTCAAATTTATCTAAAAGAGATTAATTAAAAATTAAAATAGGCTACTTTGAATTCCGATTAGGGTTTTTAGGTGGGAAGCACATCTGTTACTATCATGCACTAACTTTACCAGCAGCTGGTAATATTCAACTAAAACAGACGGCTTGCTTAGATTGTGAAGGCTATTCTACAACAATAATTATCATAATTAGAAATACAACAAACATAGTTATCAAATGTGTTGTCAAATGGGACACCGACAGTGTTGATACGAGAAGGCAACAGCTAAACAATTGACGAGAAACAAACAAACCTACTTTATTATCGTCAATGAATCTTTTCAAAGACTAAATTGTCGGAACTTTAGAAAAAAATTAGCTCTTACCTCAGCCGCAATATCACACCCCTCATCTTCTAACAGCTTCACTACCAAGAAAAACAACTCTTAAAAAAAAATAATCCGAAAGCTTTGAAAACACACCGGCTTTTATATCCATTACGCGCAACCCTCAGTACTGCTATACTGAGTACTTTATGCCACAGTATACCCTTTGCATTACAAACGGCCTTGATGGGTTTTGCGCCATTTTTCATTGTCCAAGCGCTTCAAGCTTCTGTTCAACAGGATCTTTGTTGAGCAGTAGGTACCTAAACATGTGAGGCAAGAAAAACTAAAATTTGTTGGTTAAATGAATATCGGTAATGCAATGAGAAGACAAAGGCCGATTATAAATATAACGGACAACGATTGTCATTTGCATAGGTATGATCGAATGAAACATAGTTCCTTTTCTTCTATTCTCCATTCATTATTAGTCATGTCCTTATGTTCCTAACCCTCAAATTCAGATTCCTAATCTTCATTTCTGTTCCCTTCCTTTCTCCATTTCCTTCATTTCAGTCAACTCAATATTCTTCTCAATTACACGGAACCTTTTTATTATATGACAAATATTGTGCCAACACTACTGAAACTTGTGTATTACTGAATTTCTGAAGAAACCTGAAATGGTTCCTTCACAACAACTATGTATCCACAAGCTATTTGTGTATAACAATAATGCTCAAAGACACATCACTTTTGCTGAGAAGTGCCATGTCCCTTGGCTGATCACAAGAAGTTCATGATATCCCAAATTCTTATGAGTTCCTTCTAACGTTTGGTCTGCTTACTTATCGTCTTACTCTGAAACCTTGCAATCCCAAACTGTTCTCACACATTCTTTGATATGCTATCTATCCTTATCATCTCTAGACCACATATAATCTGACCAGTATTTTATAACATATACCATTATTTATCTTCATAGCAGTGTGATATGGTAAATGGAAATCTAACCCACAATACAAAAGCTTTATTTGTCTGATTCATTTGTAACATGGAACTGGTAGAGATGGTGGATTCTAAAGAGGTGTTCAGCATGGTACTTAGGTCGAAGTAATGTTCGTGCACACCACAAATTTTAGAGAACCTAACGTCACAGGAGGAGGGAGGGTGGAGTTAGTGACCAACAAGCACGATGATCGGGAGACGACATCGATTAATTTACGCCTATACTGCAGAACATTTTGTTAAATTATGGATCCTTGTGGTATAGCGGGGTATAATTAACCAATGCTATTGAAGCCTATATATTATACGAATCGCCTCTTCGACTCATGTTTGTAAACTTGAGTATGGTCAACTTCCTACCGAGAAATCCTGTTACAAGCAAAACGGGATGATTATGCTAAAATGAAGCCCACGCATGATCCTACAAAATTTGTAAATATAAAAATGAGCTGAAATAGCCTCGACGAAAAAATCAGAAACAGAAAGGAGAGGGCCATTTGCGTATCCAAATACTGTTTTCCGTGATATATTTTGAAACTTAACATAATTCCAAACATTCGGCTTCTTTTTAAACCACCTCCATTTATACAGTTCTTTAACCATTCATCATCATAATTAAGCTTCTTTTCTTTGACTTATTAGGATGCTCTTGCTTTGAAATTACTTGGAGAGAATGGGTCTAATTAGTCATGCCTAATATATCCGATCGCAAATCACTCAACTTCAATCAGTATAAACATCGTCTGCTATTCTTCTCATCCCTTCTTTTTTACTCTCCGTTTCAGTCCCCTCGTGATATGCAACAGAAAACATATGAATAGGATGACTTCTTGCGCCATCATTAATGTCTCAAATGTTCCAGAGGGAAACGACGTTGCGGTTTCCAGAAACTCTCAATTTTACTTGGATTTATTCTCGGCAAACAGTTGCACGTCAAAAACGCAACATTTATGAAGAGCGCCAATACTCATATTAATCATGCAGGTCTTACTGACATTATTTGCATTCATATGTGAGAATTGTTTTCCACTTGTTTCTATGACCAATGTTCTTTGTGACATTTCAACTCAATTGAGTAACTTATTACAATAAAGCGTGTGACATATGTAACAATTTGATCGTACCTGTGAACCGACATGCCTCATGAAACATCTTGTTACTTCAGAATAAACTATAAATTATGACCCTTTTGGTTTGGGTTCGTTATACGTATGATAATCTATTAAATTTTTCTTAAAGAGTTCTCTCAACTTTTTTAAGAGACGTTTCTCTGTCGCATCTGTTAAGTCTTTCTGGGTATTATCGATGATGAATTTAGTGGAACCAAAGGAGATGAAGTCACCGGAATAATCAATCACAGAATAAATTCCTCAATAAAAGTGGTCTATCCAGCAGTTAAACTGAAAACGTTATGGGAAACGAACTGTTCTTTCAAACAAACTAAAATCGACAAGTCCTCTTTTCTCAGTAACGCCAATTGCATTTACTAATTCACATGTACGTGCTACAGCACATACATTGAAAGAACTGAGAGAAGGGTACATGTTCGCATTTCTGAGCATTTTCCAAAAAACTTGAAGCTAAAAGGGACTACGGCTCTCAATAGTGCAATAGCTGGGCATTTACTTGACACCGGGCATACCATCAATATTCCGCACGCCTTTAAAATTATCAATAGACAAACAAGTACGGTTGTTCTCCGTTTTGCTGAAACAATCGCGATAAGAAAACTTAAACTGGATTTATGTATTCAGAAAGAGACAGTAGTTATTTATTATTACCCTGGTAATCCATTTTACTTTCATTTTTAGACGTTCAAAGACGCTTCACACGCCAACTTCTAGGAATCAACTACAATCTCGATTACACAGATAGGTGTAAGCTCCTCTCTTTAGAACCTTGGTGTCACCATAGGCTAAGGAATAATTTAATTTTTCTCTACAAAGCGATATATGGACTCTCATTTCTAACTTCCTGTCACTTATTTTCTTCAACCTATTGGAATGCTGTTGCTTAATAAATACCTTAATAAAAGAGAATTAGACTGGGCAAACATACTTTAAGCATTCCTTCATGAACATTGTCTGCTTTGCTATTCGTCCTTTCTTTTTCTTGCACCCTTTATCTGCCCCCATGAAATATGCCACCGAAAGCAGATATAGAACAGGTGATTTCGTTCAGCAACATCATTAAAGCCTCAGATATTCCAGAGTTACATAAGGTTGCGATTTCCAGAAGCCCACAACTTCAATGGATCTATTCTCTACCATTAATAGCACGTCGAGACGCAACCTTTGTAAGATCCGTTTCGAATGTTTGGTGTGCGTGAAAATCCCTCCATGTATATACTTGCACTTTGTTCCTATTGATCCCTTTAGTTGTACATTGTTAGTTTTTTGATCACATTTGGATTGTTAATATTTATGTTTTTTATTGTGGTTTTTATTTTCCTTACGCCTTCACTAAGTTTTTGTGTTTCTTCCCGAACTGCATCTGTGTTGTTTTACTTGATACTTGTTCTTGGCGGCAGCCATATTGATTTGTCCCTCCTTTTGTGTGTGTTCTATCCAGTCAGGATAGAGCAGCGTTCATTTGTTGTGACTGATTTGATTGATTGAACAATTATTGGTTGAATAGCCGAGTGGTAATATTTGTTTAGAACCGCTATTTACCCGATTACTTGTTTTGATTTTGACAGGCAAGGGCGCGTGTCTAATCTACCTGAGAGGCTATTCAGCAGTCCAAACCGTAGTTTGGATTCTACAGTTCTAAACAAATATTAGTTGGTCGAAGTCGTTTGGCAATCGTTTTGTGGATTTTGATAATCGTTTCTGGAAATATTTGGTCGTTCGTTTGTGATGCCAACTAATTGTTGAAGGAAATCAAGCTCAAAGCTCGTCGATGTAAATGATGAATCCCCTATTACAAAGCAAGTGCCTTTTGATGTCCTTAAGTGTCATGGTTCGGACTTAAATATGGTTGATTATCATTATAGTGATTCTAGTCTTAGTTCGAGGTTAGATGACGTAAAAAATCTTAGTTTAAAGGAGGAGCAAAGGCTTGAATTATCAGGGAAGAGCGTTTTGCCTATAGCGTCTGTTGTAGGTCTAGAATTGCCAAAGGTTGAATTGAGTTATTTCGATGGACAGCCAAGAGGGTATTGGAAGTTTATAAGGCAATTTGAAACCTATGTAGCATCAAGAGTCACTGATGATAGCCAACGTTGACTCTATTTGATGCACTATTGTAAGGGCAGGGCAAAAACAGCTATTGAGAAGAAGAAGACTTATTCGATGCTGCAAATTTTGATTATACTGACGCGGAGCGACTATCAAACTTGGCTATTAAAATGGAAAATTGTGCTATGGTCTTGGAACAGATGAATTATACTTCCGATCTAAATTCATTAGTTACCTTGGAAAGAATATTGAGACTCCTGCCTCAACCTATGCAAGCCCAGTTGGCGGACTGGGTGGATAAATTGACTGAAGATGATAGAGAGCCGACGTTTGAAGAGCTCATTCAGTTTATCGCATCTCGTGCGAGAGTAGCTTGTAGTAGATTTGGACGGCTAGCGAGTCGTTCAAGAAAAGGATATAACTTAGAGACGAAATGTCACGTGCAATCGGAGCAGAGGAATGATTCGACAACGAAAACTAAATGCCGTATGTGTTCCTATGACCACGCTATTTATAAATGTCCACAGTTCTTAGCGCTTACAGTTCACTACCGATGGTCTCACGCAAAAAGCAAGGGTATCCGTTTTGTCTGTCCTAGACAAGGACATAAGTTTAATGAATGTAAGATGACAAGGCGCTGTAACGTTTACAGTTGTGAGTATAGACATCATTCTCTGCTGCACATCGACTCGACGAGCAACGGCGTAAATGATAAGCCATCATGCCCGGGATTTAGGAGGAGAATTATTAATCATATTGGCAGGGTACAGACGTTAGAGGAACCACCTGAATTTCAAATAACCTCTCATCCTTGTGGTGTCACGTCTTCGCTGTTTTATGCGAACCTTGCCATGAACAAGACAGTCCAAACATTCTCTGATGGTTATGATCGTTATATCGTGGATGCTGTCAAGAACAATCTCAACGTTGATGTTTGTTTGATATCCGTTTCTGCTTGTGATACAGCAAAGACGTTTGTTAGGCAGATAATTGAGTTATTACGTAGTGGATATTTTAATTTGAAGAAACGGATTACCAACTCGGAAAAAGTAAGGACTATCTTACCTGATGTATGTAATAAAGGATTTTTGGTAGAAATGTCAACGAGTTGCGATACCGCTCATCGAAATATAGTTGTAGAATGCAATTTCAAAAGACATGTATTTAAGTTTTACCTTGATGCACCGGAAAGGCCTTTGACAAGCAGAGGAATTCTATCTGTTGTTTCTCCTCGGTTCGATCCATTGGGTCTAATTGCTCCAGTCTGCCTTACGGCCAAACTTCTTTTGTAAAAATTATGTAAATTTCAACTAGGCTGGGATCAGACTCTCAGTAAGCCATACATGTCCACGTGGCTAAATTGGGTGAATTATATGCATCGGCTAGGTCATGTCACTGTGACCCAAGGGATGAAGAAGAGAATCAACGAACCTGACGCGAAGCTATAATAACACTTGTTCAGTATTGCTCCAGAGATTGATTATAGAGCAGCTGCTTACGCACCATTTAGTTATTCGAAGAATCTACCATACTGTATCTTGTTGTATAGCGAGTCTAGTGTAGCACCTATCAAACAAATCACTGTACCGAAGCTCGAGATGGCGCCATCGGTGTTAAGTGTAAGGCCAAGTGACGTCTTACGGAGGGGTCTGCCTAATTCTTCTGCGATGTGAACTTCCGTACGGATTCCATGATGGTGTTATACTACGTTAAGAATACCGAAAACCGATATAGCACCTATATAGCCAACCGCTTTGCTATTGTACACCAGTATACGAAGGTTGAACAGTGGAAATATGTAAGGTCGTCACAGAATCCAGCTGATTGAACTTCGAGAGGTATACAAAAAATGTCAGATCTTGAATCTTGGGTTAAATGTCCTACATTACTGCAAACCGATTTTTGTATAACAATTACTGACTGTCCGAAACTTACGCCTGACTATTGAGTTTAGAAAATCTGCTGTGGTTAACTTGAGTAGTATAAAGTACAACATGTCACCTATTCTCTCTTATTATTCCGAGTGGTTGACATTAGTCATAGCTGTAACCTGGTTTAAAAGGTTCATAGAATTCCTGGTGGTGCTTCGTTTACCGAATCGTGAAGGATACGTTCCTCTAGGATGCTTAAAGGTCAATGAGCTTGACATCGCCAAGCGTAAGATTTTATTGATGGTTCAGTGAGAAGTGTATGGAGAATTACTTAGTGAATTTAAAAACAGCAGTAAAGTAGTTAATCATGATGATATGAAGGGTTTATCACTGATAATGCTTGATGGGTTACTCTGCGTTGGACATCGACTAAGATACGCAGATTTCACAAATGCTTTTAGACATCCAATAATTTTACCCAGTCGAAACCTAGTGACGGAAGTGATAATTAGACATTATCGTAAAGAACGAGGACACATACGAAAGCCATTAGAAAAAAGATATGGATATGTATTTACTTGTTTGTGAACACGGGCAGTACATATTGGACTGATGTATAGTTTGATTACTGATTCATTTTTAATGGCCTTATTACGTTTTATTGGAGGAAGAAGAAGAAGAAGAAGAAGAAAACCTCCAGAGATTTACATTGGGTCAAGCTTCGTGGGTGCAGTCTCTGGACTAAACAGGTTTGTGCAACAGTTGAATCAGTAGAAGATAAATAATGAACTGTCAGCTAGGCAGGTTCAGTGGCATTTTAACCCACCCTCATCCAGCAACAGGGGTGGAGTTTGGGAAAGAATGATTAAGTCTATACCCCGACTGTTATTATTGATCATCAGAGAACAGACTTTAATGATCGGGTAAAACAGGTCTCCTTGAAGCTTCGGACAAGTCTTTGTTGTGGTTAATGTAGATAGGTCTAGAAGGCGTACTGTTGTAAGTCCTGCTCGTTCCTATAGCGTATTATGTTATATGATGAACCATAACCGTAGGCACCAAGGTAGCTTGTGTGGTATGGAGTGATTTTGGGTGCCGGTGTAAGATCCGTTTTGAGTGTGTTACCCTGCTGCCTGGAAAACTACACATGTCATTCCCGAAACTAAAACAGGACCTGAAGCAAATATTGACAATTACCTGCCAATAAACATAACTTGAGTGATGGAAAAAGTAGTAGTCCAACATCTTACTGATAATCTTATCTCGACCTCCCAGCATGGATTTCTTAGGTTCCGATCATGCGATACATGCCTAGTAGACTACCTGAATGATATAACTCTGAAATGAGACAATGGACTCCTTGTATCAATACTATTCTTAGACTTTAAGAAAGCGTTAGATAAGGTCCCACACAAAAGGTTTTTCGCCAAAGTAAAGTCTTTCGCAATAAACAACCCACTGTACTGATGGTTTGCTTCTTTCTTAAAACAACGTAAACATATGATAAATTACAATGACTGTCTCTCATCACCTAGATCAATAACTTTTGGAGTCATCCAGGTAAGCGTATTATGTCCCCTCTTGTTTCTTATGTTTATAAACGATATATGTAGCATCATTAAATTTGGAAATCTATACTTATACGCTGATGATCTCAAAACAGTATGCAGCTATAAGCCAGAGAATTTAAGTGAAAGTGCATCCCTGATTCAAAATAACATTAATAACCCAACTATATGGAGTAAAAAATGGCAATTACCATTTAACCTCAACAAGCGCGAGATCATGCACTTTGAAATGCGTGTCTGAGAGGCTATTCAGCAGTCCAAACCGAAGTTTGTATTCTACAAATTTCACAAAGCGCTCCAACTGTGATACTGCCTAAGACCATCTACATTCATTTCTTATAAAACATCAACTCAGCTGAGTAATCTACTAAAGTGAAAATTGTATCTTTTGTAACAGTTTGATCTTGCCTATAAACTGTGATGTCTCATGTAACAAACTGTTATTTGAGAATAAATAATAATTCCTATTATTATTAATATTCTAGTAGCTTCGGTTGGCTTAATACTATGTCATACATTTCACCCACCTAACTGTGGTTTCGTGAGGCATGTGTCAACACTTGAACTTTTTCTGACAAGTTTCTTCTTCTCATTGTTACTTTGCTCATCAGTATGCATGTTAACCTGGCTTGTACACGCGTCGCATCATGTCCACTCCATTCCATTTGAATTTGACGATTATTTGAACAACCTTTAATAGTTTACACCAAACACATCATAATCGTTATCACTATACGCATATGTGTTTATGAATTAGGCCATCGTATTAGGCAACTGTAAAGACGCTTAACACAGTTACGATAATAAAGTTACTGCACTAGGATGTCATCATACTTCACTGATATAATGAATAAATTGCCATTTAGTTGTTAGCCAAGCAAGCGTTCAAAATAAACATTCTGGAGTCTATCAAAATGAACAACAACCGAACAAATATTTCTTTGATCTGGTTGGCGTGATTTAACAAAATATTTTTCTACGTGGCGGAATTGCTGTTCCCATGCCCAAACCTCCTTCTTTCTACTGGGAATGAATATTTCCCGACCGTGATTCGTGATATAGTCGGACTGCCCGGATCCATTAATGCTACGTAAAACAACAATGCTGATTCTCCACTGGCTAACTCCTTATCAATATTATGAATAGTTATTCACAATGATTTCTATATATCGTCATGAAGCATTGTTATGACTTGACAATCATACGATGCGACTGATAAAATTGGTGAAACTGTTGACAAAGTCGTCTGACAGATTGACTGATAATTAGTGACACAATCATCTATGTGAGTCGTCGGTATAAACAATCGAGCAAATCTGTAAACTGGAAACAATACTGTAAAAATTACTAAGGTCTTATAGATCAGGTAGTCACATTATGAGAATGAACATGTGACAATTAAAATAAGAGAAGTTTTAGTAAGCTCATACATACCGCTGTTTTGACTCCTTAAATATTCATTAGGTTTATGGACGAAGTAAAATGTCTTCACTAATAACACCATTGAGTATGATATCAAGAGTTAACCGGTAACGTCTTGTAAGAGCTTGGGTGTATAGAAACAATATGAAATAAAACACACTATGTTCGTTATCTTATCCATGGTCACAAGAAAGTGATGTTGGCGGGTGCACTCCATTTCAAAAACGCGATTTGATTATGTGGTCTATAAGAACTTACGTGGAAGTCACATAACTGTTGACCCTGACCCCTCATATCGTGACAATTATCAATACAATGCCTAGAACTTCTGAGCAACACATTAAGGCTAAAGATGGAATAGTATATTTAATGTGAATGTATATATGCCACACAGAATGGACATGCCCATGCCATTGTCAATGATTGTGATTTTCCCGTACTCATCATTGTTGACATTCCCCAAGTGGTATATGTAGGATGTAAATCGCCTTGGTAACTATACGTTCAACTTCAAAAGCCATATGGTTAGGAAACATCACCACTACAATATTTCGGTAGTCAATATTCATCAAGACGGAAGAGATTGTTTTACAGCCTTATATATAAGTTAACGGAAGTTTTCGGATCGTTCGGGCAGTACATTGCCACAGCTTCCGATGGCGCTTTGTCTGAAGTTAGTAAGTTTCGAGAGAAAGTCAAAATAATCTTTGAAGTATCGGGTCAGCGTTTTCCGCAGTTATATCGCCTCCAATCCTCATACTTATCACAAGTTTCTTGGCTCCTCTTTTACTGACAGGCACTTATAAAAAACCACTTCAACGAAAATGAAATCGGCTTCGGAATCGAAATATCAATTAGCAGTAGCTAGAATTAAAACTCAATTGAATAGCCATTTGGTAAAAGCGGATTGAGGAGACACTTCCTCCTGAAGATATATTAAAACAACGTTATGATTAGTATTCGTGTCAATGCATGCCATGCATTCCAAGAACCTTAGGTTTCATATCTTTCAAATAAATTTGAAGAAACCCGTGCAAAATTGTGAACTGCACCGAATGTGCGTTACACTGTTTTTTGGCGGCATGTGCTCGTTTTTGCCCGAATTGCTTGGGCCTGAGTTTTTCCCCAAAATTTGACCAAGATCACCCAGCAAAAAGCCAGAATTTGTAACTTAGGCATAGTCAACTTGTTACAATCATTGCAATGAATGCCCTTGGGAACGCTCATTCTATTAGTGGATAATTAATTTACTGTGCACATTTGTAATCACGTTTGCAAGTGTTTATTCTGATTTTGCATAGGAAATTTGACCTTGGGTACTTTGTACCCGAAGAATGCATCACGACTTAGAAACACAAATCATCAAGTGGAATGACATTTAAATTCTAATCTAAAGACCTGTAAATATATCTTGTTTATAATCTAGTAAGTTACTACAAAGATTTTTGTGTTACACATTCTGGCGTATATTCGTCCTAATATGAATTCACATTTATAAATTAGGGGCAGTGTATCGTTTAACCAAAATGCCTTAGAACGACAAACACTCAAGGTGTTTTTTCGGCGAGACTACAATTTATGGGCGACCTTTGTGCGAAACTGAAGTGACAGTGAGAGTGAACAACTACTAATTAGGACTAAATGAGGGTTATAAAGCAGCCAGAATTGTCATTTACATCTGATGGTTAGGGCTAAAAATTAGATTTAGGATTTTCATCACGAACTGACATCAGCTATAATGCCAAAACTTGTTATCTTCTATCTGACTGGTTCGTCCATAAATTATAGTCTCGCCTCCAAAATAAGTATTTTTCTTGGAAGGCCACTCTCCGATCTTTGACCTAGAGGTCTAATCCACAAGGTGGTGGAACAACGTCAGGAGATGAAGTTCCATGGTAACAGGTGTCCAACTCTTCTCACCTTCGGTCGTACCATAGCATTTAGGGTCTGGTGTTATGAATACACCTGAAGGGAAATTCAGCAAAGTGATCCGTGATTAAATATTGACTAGTCTGTTGGTTATTTCAACATGAGCTCATATTTGTCGTAATTAAAGTGCTTTTTCTATTCTACCGTTTTATATATTGCCATTTATGAGTCAGATTTATTCCTTCGGCTACATGTACTGCCTGAGATACTTAAGACGATGCGCTTGAATACAACGCTTTCCTAGTAAGCAGTAGATCTATTCAATGTATTGGGATATTTTTACATTCATAGTTAAGGATGTTCAATAATTTCACAGAATTTCCTCTACTTAGATGTTTTAATGATATATATATATTTCAAATTTATGTTTTTTTGTCTACTGGTAGGCATTATGTTGGTCGTCAGATATGTATTCCTTAATAAATTTGTCTTTGAGTCGTGGCTCTTATGGTACTCAAAACATCTTCAAGTTGCTTTAAAAGACGGGTAAGGTAAGAATAGATTAATTACCTTTTATTTGCTTCAGAGCATTTTAGCCCATGAATACTTTTGCCTTATTGATCGGTTGCATTTCTCGCTGGACAAGCTGAAAGTCGAGGATTAAAATAAACGAAATATTTTTTTTTAACATCCTACTATGTACATAACACAATTCCAATATTTTTCACTGCATTCCTCAAATGCTTCCAAATATATCTTTGTTATGGATTTGAATGCCTTTTGCAGAAAAACTGTCTGTTTGAAGTGATTTTCTATTATATTTGGATTACAGTGATACGATAATGAATTAATATCACAGGCTGGTTAAACACCCTCAAGATCTGTAAGACCGAAGGAAGTAGACTTTAGGAAAGTTGTTAAATGTATAGTATATTTTAATGTTGTATCGAAGCACACACGACTTGGATTTACTTGTCATATGCAACATAAACCGAAAAAGGAGTATCTTAGTCAACATTAAGTATAACCACCTAAAGTGAATTAGCATGGGCTTTATCAATTCGTGGTTAATCACCACATCCCTCAGCTTGTTGTGTTATTTGGGTTGGGATTGGATTATGGAACAACCAAGGATACTTGAACCTAGGGATGAAACCCTAAAATTATTGAGTATCTGTTTGGTTCTGCTTAATTTTGTATCATTTACCCGTCTGTTTGAATATATTTCTGTCAGGTATTGGATATCACTATTTAAACATTAAAAATCATATTTTTATTCACCAGTTTTTTTTCCATACATCTTAGAGTGCCACAGTCGATCTTGATGCAGGTGAAGAGCCAAGTAACACATTTACAGACCGACACCTATGTGGTAAGTTCGTTCTAGCATCTAACAATTTAATGATCAGAAAGTCGGGATAGATTTTTGCTTAATAGCATCCTAATATTTGTTCTTCGAAAGGGGTATACAGCAATTTTAAAAGAAGGTAATCATAAAGTTTACATTATCAGTATTACCATTTTTATTCATAGGTTTTGTTTATTGAAGTTTGGGTCAAATTAAAGTCCATGAGACATTTATTGGTTAGGACGGTATTACAAAGTGGTGAACAGTGGGGTCGGTTGGGTTGTCTCTGAATACTTACGTAATAAATAAAACTTTAGCATCATTAGATATTTACTGACCTTAGATGCAGAGTTGCTTTATCATTTTTTGATGATCAGCTCATATAATATTTTTACTAAATATTTCGTCTGTGAATTAGAGGTTTATTTCAGACAGGGATGCTTAACTCATTGGTTAATATTTCTGTCTTTTGAAGTTTGTCCACTTGATATGGGCTTCATACTCGTTAACGATAATCTACTTGGTCAAATGCTTGTTTGATCAGAATTTGTTTCGTTCCTGTTATAATGAAAATTAAAACAAACTTCCAATAAAAATACTTGTCTCAGGCCAATTAAATCGAAAAGTGATCAGTTAAATAATTGTCATCGATAATTTAAAATTACCACAGTTGATGAATAGAAATTTTCTTAAAATTGTTTTTACACAACTTAGCATGCTCATTTGAATATTTATTTCTCCTCTTGTGTTTTATTTTTTTAGTTATTCAGCTTTACGGTCAATTATGTCTTAAACCACCACCTTTTTGTGTATGGTGTTGTGCAACGGTGTTATTTTCCAAAACTTTAAATGAAAATTTGATTGAGACTGATTCTAACAATTGCAATTTATCTACTAATTATCAAGATCAATTAGAGACTTTAATTACAGTGGGAAATAATTTATTTTCTAAACTAAATGATTCATCGCCGTATAAACCATACCTTAACACTTATTTAAAGGAGGCTAGACGTGTTGTAGGTTCTCACTTATGTATTATATTGTTGCACTTGAACATGATACTATTATTATTAACTACATGAGTGTACATTTTATTTAAGGTTTTATATGTTCTTATTGTCACTATTAAGAATTACTTAAGGTAATGATAGTAAACGACAATACATAGGATTAACTGATATATGTAGAAATCATTTCATCAAAGTAAGTAGATATATGGGTTACTTCTATGCTTATTTTATCTAAAATAATTCAAGAATATTACCTAGCTTGCCGGAAATGATTCTATAAGAAGCTCCATAGTTGAAAACCTTGTAAACACAGGCCATTCGATCAAAATGAACTTTGTGTTCAAAATCATCTACAAGGTAATTTTAAAACTGCCATGGCAGTTAGCTCCCGTCTTCTTAGCATTGCCGAGGCATTTGCTATAGATTTTGAAAAAACTAGGATCACATGTACAGGAGAAATTTGTAAAGCCTTTTCTTCTACCATGGTCTTAATCTTTCGTTACTTACTTACTTACGCCTGTTACTCCTCGTGAAGGAGCATAGGCCGCTCACCAGCATTCTCCATCCAACCCTGTCCTGGGCAATCCTTTCTAGCTCCGTCCAGTTGTAATTCATCCTTTTCATATCTGCTTCTATTATCCGACGCAATGTGTTCTTTGGCCTTCCTCTTTTTCGCTTCCCTTCAGGATTCCAAGTTAGGGCTTGCCTCGTGATGCAGTTCGACGATTTGTGTAATGTATGTCCTATCCATTTCCATCGTCTTTTCCTAATTTCTTCTTCAGCTGGAAGTTGGTTTGTTCTCTCCCACAGAAGGCTATTGCTGATGGTATCCGGCCAATGGATGTTGAGTATCTTGCGTAGACAGTTATTTATAAATACTTGTACTTTCTTGATTGTGGTTGTTGTAGTTCTCCAAGTTTCAGCTCCATACAGTAGAACTGCCTTGACGTTCGTATTGAAGATTCTTACTTTGATATTGGTTGAAAGTTGTTTTGAGTTCCATATGTTCTTCAATTGTAGGAAAGCGGCCCTTGCTTTGCCGATCCTCGCCTTTACGTCTGCATCGGATCCTCCTTGTTCATCGATGATGCTTCCCAGGTATGTGAAGGACTCTACATCTTCCAGAGTTTCTCCATCAAGTGTGATTGGATTGCTGTTCTCCGCTTTGAATTTGAGGACCTTAGTTTTCCCTTTGTGTATGCTGAGGCCTACTGATGCAGAGACTGCTGCTACACTGGCTGTCTTTATCTGCATCTGTTCGTGTGTATGCGATAGGAGGGCTAGGTCATCTGCGAAGTCCAAATCTTCTAATTGGTTCTGAGCTGTCCATTGTATTCCGTGTTTTCCTTCAGATGTTGAGGTCTTCATAATCCAGTCGACCACCAGAAGAAAGAGGAAGGGAGAGAGTAAACAGCCTTGTCTGACTCCGGTCCTTACTTGGAACGCATCTGTCAGCTGTCCTCCATGCACTACTTTGCACTGTAGTCCGTCGTATGAGTTCCGGATAATATTGACAATCTTCTGAGGAACTCCGTAGTGTCGAAGAAGTTTCCATAATGTCCTCCTATCTACACTGTCGAATGCCTTTTCATAATCAATGAAGTTGATGTATAGTGATGAGTTCCACTCAACTGATTGTTCGACGATGATCCGTAGTGTTGCAATTTGGTCTGTGTACGACCGATCCTTACGGAATTCAGCTAGTTGATCTCGAAGTTGGGCGTCTACTGCATCCTTCATCCGGTTCAGCAACAATCTGTTGAAGACTTTCCCTGGTATTGACAGTAGTGTAATGCCTCTGTAGTTTTCACATTTGCTCAGATCTCCTTTCTTTGGAATCTTGACGAGGTGTCCTTCTTTCCAGTCCATCGGCACTTGCTCCTCCTCCCAAATCTTTTTGAATAGAAGATAAAGCATGCTTGTGGTTGCTTCGATGTCTGATTTCAGTGCTTCAGCTGGTATGTTGTCGGGTCCCGCTGCTTTCCCGTTCTTGATTTGTCTGACGGCCATTCTGATTTCTTCCGTAGTTGGTGGATTGACATCTATAGGAAGATCTATGTGTGCTGCTTCGATGTTCGGTGGATTCATTGGAGCCGGCCTATTCAGGAGCTCTTCGAAGTATTCTACCCATCTGTTATGCTGTTGTTGAATTTCGGTGATTGGCTTGCCTTCTTTGTCTTTGACCGGCCTCTCTGGTTTACTGTATTTCCCTGATAGTTTCTTCGTTGTATCGTAAAGCTGTTTCATATTTCCTTCTCTAGCAGCTTTTTCTGCCGTCGTTGCTAGTTCTTCCACGTATTTCTTCTTGTCGGCTCTAATGCTCCTCTTCACTTGTTTGTTTGCTTCTATGTATTCAGCTTGTGCTTGGACTTTCTCTGCTCGTGTTCGGCTGTTGTTAATTGCTGCCTTCTTGTTCTTCCTTTCTTTGATCTTGTCCAATGTTTCTGTAGAGATCCATTCCTTATGATGGTATTTCTTTAGACCCAGAACCTCCTAACACGTTGAAGTTAATGCTTCTTTGATGCCTTTCCAGTTGTCCTCCATAGTAGTTTCTTCTTCCTTCAGTAGATCTGGCAAGGCTTGGAACCAGTTGTTGAGAGCTATCTTGAATTCATTGAGTCTGTCAGTATCTCGAAGGAAGGCTGTATTGAACCTTTGTAGTGCTGTTTGTCCAGTTTTCCAGTTCTTTTTTAGCTTCAGTTTCAAATTGGCTACAACTAGGTGGTGGTCTGAAGCTATATCACCTCCTCTCCTGCTTCTCACATCTTCCATTGTCCGTCGGAACTTTTTATTGATGCAAATATGATCTATCTGGTTCTCTGTAGTGTGGTCCGGTGAGATCCATGTAGCTTTGTGTGGAAATATTGTACCGCCTATGTACAATTTGCTGGATGCACATAGATTTGCAAATCTTTCCCCATTATTGTTTCTCTCTCCCAGTCCATGTTGTCCCATGATATCTTCATATCCGGTATTGTCTATTCCGACTTTGGAGTTTAGATCTCCCATCAGAATGGTGAGATCCTTTCTTGAACACTTCGTTATAATTGATTGCAGCCTATCGTAGAAATGATCTTTATTGTCGTCGTTGCTATCATTGGTGGGTGCATAACATTGGATAATATTCATTGTGATCCCCTCCTTCTTTGTTTTGAATGATGCTTTGATGATTCTGGATCCGTGAGATTCCCATCCTACAAGTGCATTTCGTGCTACTTTGGACAGCATTAGAGCGACTCCCTGAGTGTGTGGAGCATTTTCCTCTTCGTAGCCGGAGTATAGCAGCATCTCTCCTGTATTTAGCCTTTGTTGTCCAGCTTGGATCCAATGGGTTTCTCTGATTCCCAGTAATGCCAAGTTGTATCTCCTCATTTCCATTGCTATTTGACTTGTCTTCCCGGTCTCCCACATTGTTCGAACGTTCCATGTACCTATAAAATTTTTTGCTCTGGTTGTTAGAAGGGGCATCGGCCTCGTGGCTTTTGAAGGAACTCGGCTTTCACCATGAAGCGTCATAATTCTTCTAAATGAAGACCTTCTAACTCCCAGGGCAGAGTTAAAATGGTTTGGATTATTTTTTCTGGTAAGCGTTTTTTAGCGAGTTAGTTTTCTACGGAATGGGGACGCTAACCCCATGCCCAACCCTCCTCCTTTACCCGGGCTTGGGACCGGCAGCAACCCTATAAGAGCTACAGGCGGAGTTCTTAATCTTTCGTAACCTTTTAAAATCTTTTCTCTCAAAGCCATCTGCTTTCCTTCTATCTTTTTTATGGACTTTTTGTTCCTGTTTCTATGATCCTCCTGATTACAGTTCATCTGAATTTCAACATTTTATCTCATCTCACTGAATCTTTCCTTTCCAATTATAATTTTTCTATGTATCTTCATGATGAATATTCAAGCTCTCAACAATATTACTACTATTTTAATAAAAATAACGTTTTTACGTCTTTATTTGTTTTTCCTTACTGTTTCTATGTTTAACGAAAATAAGTTACAGACACGTAATTAGTAGGGCAAGCAGCTAACTTACGATTATATAAACGTCAGGGTTAATAAGCAAATAAGTGACAAGCTCAAAATGTAGCTTGAGAAGAATGAATAAATTGGCCTATCCAAAAGCTAGAAGAACCTATATGAGCTCGACATGGTACCAGCCGCTACAAACTCTTCTCTGAACCAATCTTTCCTATTTTACACCTCAATAGATATATTCCGTTTACTAAACTAAATGTTTTGTATTGTGACTTTTTAGGATGCAACTAATAAATCTCACATACTTTCTTACAAAATTATATTGAGTATACACGACAGTTGTGTTTTTAGTGTTAGTTTTGTATCAAGTTCATAAGTTCATTTCACCAATTGCAAGATAATTAATTACTTTAATAAATTTAAATAAACGAATGAGAAGATGAAGTTAAGTGGAGACTAAAAGAATCCTTTCCGGTTGTATTCTTCTTAACTGAACTGCCACTCAGAATTATCATTATATATATTTTCACTCTTATAGCACTTCGTGTACACTTGATTTTGTATACATTTCACTTTGTTGACTCCTTCAATTAATTTATATAACAGACAGTGTCATTTGGTCAATAAAGATTTGTTTCTTTATGCTTTCCAACATTATTTCCGACTCAGTTTGATTTTTCGGGTAACTGTATTTGGATGACCTTTCATTTCATTGTTGGGATATGACGACGACAATTAAGTTGTTTAAATGGGATAGGTTCTTCATAAACTGATCCATTTTCATCTTTTTCCTGGTACTTTTCATTTCACGAACAGCTTGAATAATGTTTTTTAGATGTACAAAAAGTGTGGTGGAATTTCTTCGAGAAAATTCCAGTGCGTTGACTGCAGTTCATTATCGTACAGCGCACATCACAAATCCACAAGTCCGTGATGCGAGTATGAACAGAAATGGGAACGAACGAATGAATAGGATTTAAGCGGATGGGCTATCCTACAGTTTAAACGACTAACATTTAAGCTAGTAAGATGGATATTTACGTAGGTTGTAACACGTAATCAAACCACTGATTGTCCCAATATATAAAAAGGGGTCAAAATCATCCTGTGATAACCATTAAGGGATCAGTCTAACTAATATAGCATCTAAAATACTAGTCTCAATAATTACCGTACGCCTAACAAAGACTCGTAAACTGCAAATATGAGAAAACCAGGCTAGTTTCAGAATTTGCTGCATGGACCACATATTCCCCAAATGCCCTGGTACGACCGAGAGTGGGGAGGGTCCGCTCTCCCTCTCGAAATGCTCTCACATGGCCACGCGTATATAGCCTCTGCTAGGGAAGTCCTACTCATTGCCTTCTCGTGGCGGGGGTGTTGCTTACGAAAATTAGAGGACGGATTCCAAATCAATGGTGCACATGGGCTCTAGTATCCTGCGGGAACAAATGGCGTATGGACCAACCGTTGGTCACCGGCTTCCATGGGACTGCATCTCCTTACGATGCTCCACTGCCTTGTGGGTCAGACCTTCAGGTCGAAGGCTCGCAGAGTGGCCTCTTAAGAAAACCACCTGTTTCGGTTTGGGCACCCGGGCAGTATCACAGCCCTCACACATATCGAATGAGATTTGTGTGGCGCATATATATTTGGTGCCTCCTTGTACCAATATCTATGTGTTAAAATAAATAAATAATAAATGTCAGGTTCTAGGACAGACGTGCTTATCGGCGTCCGACAATTATAGTTTTTCTTCACTTAAAAGCAGCATTTGAGTCTGTAGACCGAGAGGTTCTGTATCAGTGTCTGTCATTGAAAGGTGTGCCTCAGAAGTACATAAACTTTGTGAAGGCCCTTTTACTGGAACACTACCAGTCAAGTCAGAGCTTATGGCTAACTGTTATCTGATTTTTTAACCTCAGCTGATGTCCGTCAAGGCTGTCCACTATCTTCATTTCTGTTTAATTTCATCATAGACATATCGCTGCAAATAACGTTCTCGTCGTCGGGATTTTCAGGATTTGATCTACCAGGAGGTCCACTTATCGACTTAGAATACGCAAATGACATAGTCCTTCTTGGTGAAGACACTGATAAAATGCAATCTTTTGATAGCACTGAGCAAAATTGCCAGAATGTTTCGAATGCGTTTCTCCTCCTCTAAATGCAAATTGTTGCTTCAGGACTAGTCTGCATCAACATCTGAACTAAGGATAGGGAGTGAAGTAGTCGAGCGCATTGACAACTTCACTTATCTTGGAAGTCTGATCAGCCCTAATGGGTTGGTGTCTGACGAAATCTCAGCACGGATTCGAAAAGCTCGTTTGGCATCTGCCAACTTACGTCACATATGGCGAAGGCAAGATATCCGTCTATCAATAAAAGGACGAGTATACTGTGCGGCAGTTTGTTCTGTTCTACTTTACGGCTGCGAAACATGGCCATTAAGAGTAGAAGATACTCGTAAGTTCCTAGTATTTGATCATAGATGTCTTAGTGTTGGAGATGGTTAAAAGAAAGTTAGAGGCGGGAAATCAAAAGTTGGCATCAATCCATAAAGTCACTAACTTCTGTTCTGAGTCATGTTGGTAGATGCAGACTAGTTGGTTCGGGGTCCGCGCGACTATCGTAATCAATGGTTGGGAGACTCTGGGTGACATGACTCAGAATCGATCACAGCGGCGTAGGTGTATAAATTCTTTGCCTTCCTTTAAACCGTGAGATTAAAATCGCTTCAAATCTTTCTTTCTACCAACTAATTCTTTCTTTCTGTACTATGTCCTTATACACAATCTTTCTTTTATATATTACTACCATTGAAGTAACTACTACTATGAATCCGGTGTTCATTTTGTTGTGCTAATGAGGTATGGCAAATTGAACCGGTACATATATGTGCCTTGTGCTACGATGTAGCTGACCGACTGACTGAACACGTAATAAAGTATGCACGCTCATACAAGCGTGGTAATAATAATATGAGAATATAGATACGTCGTCGCCATTCCAATAATACTGTTAACTAAGTTAATTGAAGGGTTTAACAAAATTAGGCGCATACAAATTGAAGTGTAAGTGAGGTGCTATAGTATCATTCATTTACTGTTATGTTTCTCATGTCTTCATTTGTATCTTAAAGGTAATTAACCACAATACTTGTCTGTTCTAAATTCTTTAGTTCATCTCTCGTTTATCATTATCTAGTAAGTTATTCATCTAATTGACGGTTTACTAACTAGCTTTCGACGTTCATAATATCAGCTCAATTCGTTCAAGTATATCACAAATTAAATCATTTTCGAGCTAGTAGAACAAACCCATATCGAATAAATCATTATTATCTAATTAAAACTACTTATCTTAATGTTTTAAAGTAGTTGAGACTAGTTTAGAACTATGTAGTTTTTCGTTATTATATTCAGAACATTTTAACAGTTAAACCTATAAGATATTCATAACAAAGTTTATTGTTATCTGTCTGTTGCGTTTTTCTTTTCTACTTAATCTTTGAATACTCTTACAACTATCCATCTGTTATATTACGGTTTTGTAGTCTGGATTTTCTGTGTAGTCAATTAAACAATATTTGAGTTCAAGTAAAATTTAGACTACCTCTTGTTTCTGTAAGTTTGCAAAAAAAAATATAATCAATTTGGTGCAGAATTTCTGTTCCTCTAAAGCGTTATTCTCTTAGGTTGATTAATTAATCACCACGACCCCTCATACACACAAAAAATTATTTTATCCTTCTGTAATTTAGATTATGCATCTATACTTGGAATCATCTGCACCAACAAGTAATTATACTCTGTGTTTTTCCAAATTGAATCAACATTATTCTCAATCAGATCTAGTAAGTTAGCTATTTTATGTCAATATTCTATGAATCTGTTCAGTTTGTGATTGGATTATATTTTCTATTTGAAAGTGGAAAATGTTCTTGATGACTAACGTATACAGTTGCCTAATAGTTTTTACTTTTCTGTTCCTTTGATACGGGCTAAGCTATTATAGTCATTAGCTTTGCTTTGGATAACTTTTTCGTTACATTTGTGATAAAATTAGTTTACAATATCAAAAAACTGTGCCAACATCTGGTAAATATTCTTCGTAATTTTCAATGTTTCTTGTTATCTGCTTAGTTAGTTAGTTTGAGGTCAGTGAGTACTGTTCCCTGGGATGTTTTGCTTCTAATACTACTATTCTGGAGGGTAACTAAAGCTCCTTACACATTTAAGAAATTGCGTCATCTATAGTTCTAGCGAGCTACCCAAATGTTCAGATATAAGATATAGCCGTCCTGAGTTGACAAGGCTTAACAGCTGAAATATTTAACTTTCAGTCACTGATTTCATGGGGAAATTATGTTTCATTCAATTGGATTCAGGTAGCCAAATATCACAACTAGCTCATCCTGAAAGTGTCGAAATAAGTGGTTATAGCTTAATATCCTGAAAACACACCCGTTTAGTTGAAAATGAAAATAAAAATGTCTTTCAGGGGAGTTTACTCAAATTCAGAAGGTAGGGTAAGATTTTTATGTTGCTTATTAATAAAGCTAGTTCTAAGATTTTAGCTGAATAATATTTCTTTAAAATGGATAGGATTTAGTTAATCTCGTAGTAAATTTTAAAACATCATCGGGCTACTGTAGACTCATATTTGATGTAAAACATACTAGTTTAATAGCGGTTGTTTAACCTATTTCTAATAAATCTATAATTGAGAATTATAAACTGTAAATTCTCTATTTCGACCGAAGTTGAAATGTTTTTCGTCTAAGATAAGTCGGTACTACCATTGAGTCTGCTGACTGCACAGAGGTGTGACGGAAGTAAGGTGTCTCCCTCAGACAACCAACATAACAGCGATACTGCCTTCCCACAAGCAGGGCTGAGGTTAGAAAGGGCAGACCCTAAAAATGCACACCTCGCCTTATCCCACGGATATCTATCTCCGAAGGTAAGGTTTCAAGAAGTACGGAGCTAACACGGGAATTACTCACATAAAGATCATAAGTGACCGACATCAAGCAGTTGTTCCTTGGACACTGCGGTCACGCTCTCAGGTCACTAAGGCCAACTCTAAACCAATTTCCTTTTCAGGTGGCTCTAGTAAAACCCTTCCACAGCGTGGGCAACCGGGAAATGATAACCACCCTCTTACCTCTAACGGCACTCAAGATCACTAACTGACTGACTGAAAAGCAGTCTGTAAATAACATCACAAAGCACTTAAAAGGGGCCTTAAATATTTATGTTGAAGCAGGCGAAAAACAAACAGCAGACCTGTTTTATGTGTTAATCAGAATTACACCGAACGGAGTGTTTTACACCATCAATTATTTCAGTATGAAAATCATTTCTTAAAACTAAAATACCTGCTGGTCTCATGCAACCAATTATTATGTCTCATAAGATAGTTTTGTGAAAATTTAAAGTTTTCAATGGTTTACATCAACAAAATTACAGCCAACTTCATTGTTAAAGATACTTATCTATTTCAACAAGCTCATGCAATTTATTCTGGTCATAAATTTAAGTAAAGCAAGAATAAATATTAGAAAATAGAAAAATAAATTCATTATAACGTAGAATAATTTTTATATTCAAATACACAAAACTGTCAACATAGTTTCTCAAAAGATATTGATTAGATTAAAAGACAGCCTAACTGTTGATAACTTTAAGTCCGGTGCTACTGGACAGTTACAATTACAATTCGGTAGTAGGGAGTTTATTTATTATTTACTTGAACACATAGATATTGGTACAAGGGGGCACCAGATACATATGCGCCTCATTTGATATGTGTGAGGGCTGTGATACTACCCGGGTGCCCAAACCGAAGCAGGTGGTTTTCTTAGGGGGCGCCACATCCAGAGCCTTTGACCAGAAAGTCTGATCCACAAGGCAGCGGAGCAACGTCAGGAGATGCAATCCCGTGGTAGCCGGTGACCAACAATTGATTCATACACCATTTTTTCCTTCAGGATACTGGAGCCAACCTATGTGTACTATTGGCTTGGAATCAGGGTTTCACAACTCCCTTAAGTGGACGCTCCATGTCCACCAACCCGGTTAAAGCACCGTACATTTGCTTCTCATCCTCTCAATTTCGTAGACAATACCCATGGTGCGAGAAGGCAGTGAGTGGGACTTCCTGGCAGAGGCTATATACGCGTGGCCATGTGAGAGCATTTGGAGAGGGAGAGCTGACTCTCCCCACTCGGCCGTACCAAGGCATTTGGGGGCGGTAGTAGGAAGACTTATGGATATTTTTGATACATTTAAGTATTAAAACTATTTTGAGTTTGTTATGAATCCATACTTAAAATCAAAGCCAACAAAAGGATGATATTATATGTATTTTGCTTAGCTTCATTGCCCAACTATTATGATAAAACATTTATGCTTGCATCCTAGAGTATTTTAATTCACCTGTAGAATTTGTACACTAAAACAAGAAAGTTCACACAAGGAATTTATTTCTTTGCTAGTTCCGATGTAGACTTTTATCTAAAATCTTATTAACGGTTTTTCTAAGTCTTGTATTCAAATTACTTCAAGTTATTGAATTATGTATCGGCTTTATCTTCTTTACATTCACACATACCTTCAATGTTTCATGGTTAAATTTGACTGATGAACCTCAATGAATACTAAAGAAATTATAGTCATATAGTCAACCAATTCATGCATTAAGAATACATTATCCAACAATCAGGTTTTATGTATTTGTCGAATTTCATCGATTATAAATGCGAAATCAGTTCACCATTCCACAATAATTATTAATTACTGTGTATTTAAACGTCAGTCGGTTCATGATCTCAATCAAAAACTTAATAATCTCCACAACCCCTATACTAGTAATTAACATGTGCTCACTGGTGACTAGCTTCGTGAGGAAATTCTCGGAGTTCTAGTGAGAAGCCGTGACCAGTGGAGCTAATCCATGTCGAGTAGAGACAGGTATCTACCTCAGTACAATGGAAGATGGTCGCGCAATTTCGTGGATTGGTTGGTGTTAGACACTATCACCATTGGATGCCGACTCAATGGTCCAGTAGGTTAAGCGTTCGCGCGCGAGACCGAAGGCCCTGGGTTCGAGTCCCATCAGCGGGATCGTGGATGCGCACTGCTGAGGAGTCCCACAATAGGACGAAACGGACGTCCAGTGCTTCCAGGTTTCCAAAGGTGGTCTAACATCAATCGGTTCATCATCTCAATCAAAAATATTCTTAGTTACTATGAATCATATTTTTATTTCATTTTGCTATTATTACTATTATAATCAGCGTCTCAATAATTTACAATAATTGAATTCTAATTAGTCATATTTAAGTGGCTACTTATTCTCTTTCATATCATTATCATGATGAATTTCTTCTTTATTGTTTTTTAAGACTGATGAAGTACACAATTTCCGATTACGATTTTTAACACTATTCGTATCTGAGAACAAAGTGAATTGTTATTTGAATGAAAGATGGTTTCCGGCTAGATTTAACGTTTTTAAAAAACTACAACAATTAGCATTTGATATTGTTAAACATTTACCTGAAGTATTATTGGATAAAGTGAGTAATATCAATGACAGATCACCTTTTTTTAGTTTATATTAACGGTTAATAGAATAGGTTAATAAACAATAATAGGTAGGAAATTTACTATTATAATATCCGAACCGTCCAATTATCATAATCTCATTATGTCGATATACTGTTAATGTGACTTAACTTTTTATTTGGATACACAAATAAGCTGATAATATTATCACTACCAACTCCGCCTGTAGTTACTGCAGGTCCCAAGCCCGGGTAAAGGAGGAGAATTGGGCATGGAGTTAGCGACCCCATTCCGTAGAAAACTAACTCGCTAAAAAAACGCTAACCAGAAAAAATAATTCAAACCATTTAAACTCTGCCCTGGGAGTTAGGTCTTCATTTAGAAGAAATATGACGCCTCATGGTGAAAGCCGAGTTCCTTCAAAAGCCACGAGGCCGATGCCCCTTCTAACAACCAGAGCAACAATTTTTATAGGTACATGGAACGTCCGAACAATGTGGGAGACCGGAAAGACCAGTCAAATAGCAACGGAAATGAGGAGATACAACTTGGCATTACTGGGAATCAGAGAAACCCATTGGATCCAAGCTGGACAACAAAGGCTAAATACAGGAGAGATGCTGCTATACTCCGGCTACGAAGAGGAAAATGCTCCACACACTCAGGGAGTCGCTCTAATGCTGTCCAAAGTAGCACGAAATGCACTTGTAGGATGGGAATCTCACGGATCCAGAATCATCAAAGCATCATTCAAAACAAAGAAGGAGGGGATCACAATGAATATTATCCAATGTTATGCACCCACCAATGATAGTAACGACGACATTAAAGATCAATTCTACGATAGGCTGCAATCAATCATAGAGAAGTGCCCAAGAAAGGATCTCACCATTCTGATGGGAGATCTAAACGCCATAGTCGGAATAGACAACACCGGATATGAAGATATCATGGGACGACATGGACTGGGAGAGAGAAACGAAAATGGGGAAAGATTTGCAAATCTGTGTGCATTCGACAAATTGGTCATAGGAGGCACAATATTTCCACACAAAGCTACATGGATCTCACCGGACCACACTACAGAGAACCAGATAGATCATATTTGCATCAATAAAAAGTTCCGACGGACAATGGAAGATGTGAGAAGCAGGAGAGGAGGTGATATAGCTTCAGACCACCACCTAGTTGTAGCCAATTTAAAACTGAGGCTAAAGAAGAACTGGAAAACTGGACAAACAGCACTACAAAGGTTCAATACAGCCTTCCTTCGAGATACTGACAGACTCAATGAATTCAAGATAGCTCTCAACAACTGGTTCCAAGCCTTGCCAGATCTACTGAAGGAAGAAGAAACTACTATGGAGGACAACTGGAAAGGCATCAAAGAAGCATTAACTTCAACGTGTTAGGAGGTTCTGGGCCTAAAGAAACACCATCATAAGGAGTGGTTCTCTATAGAAACTCTGGACAAAATCAAAGAAAGGAAGAACAAGAAGGCAGCAATTAACAACAGCCGAACACGAGCAGAGAAAGTCCAAGCACAAGCTGAATACACAGAAGCAAACAAGCAAGTGAAGAAAAGCATTAGAGCCGACAAGAAGAAATACGTGGAAGAACTAGCAACGACGGCAGAAAAAGCTGCTAGAGAAGGAAATATGAAGCAGCTTTACGATACAACGAAGAAACTATCAGGGAAATACAGTAAACCAGAGAGGCCGGTCAAAGACAAAGAAGGCAAGCCAATCACTGAAATTCAACAACAGCATAACAGATGGGTAGAATACTTCGAAGAGCTCCTGAATAGGCCGGCTCCAATGAATCCACCGAACATCGAAGCAGCACACATAGATCTTCCTATAGATGTCAATCCACCAACTACGGAAGAAATCAGAATGGCCGTCAGACAAATCAAGAACGGGAAAGCAGCGGGACCCGACAACATACCAGCTGAAGCACTGAAATCAGACATCGAAGCAACCACAAGCATGCTTTATCTTCTATTCAAAAAGATTTGGGAGGAGGAGCAAGTGCCGATGGACTGGAAAGAAGGACACCTCGTCAAGATTCCAAAGAAAGGAGATCTGAGCAAATGTGAAAACTACAGAGGGATTACACAGTTCCGGATAATATTGACAATCTTCTCAGGAACTCCATAGTGTCGAAGAAGTTTTCATAAAATCCTCCTATCCACACTGTGTAATGCCTCTGTAGTTTTCACATTTGCTCAGATCTCCTTTCTTTGAAATCTTGACGAGGTGTCCTTCTTTCCAGTCCATCGGCACTTGTTCCTCCTCCCAAATCTTTTTGAATAGAAGATAAAGCATGCTTGTGGTTGCTTCGATGTCTGATTTCAGTGCTTCAGCTGGTATGTTGTCGGGTCCCGCTGCTTTCCCGTTCTTGATTTGTCTGACGGCCATTCTGATTTCTTCTGTAGTTGGTGGATTGACATCTATAGGAAGATCTATGTGTGCTGCTTCGATGTTCGGTGGATTCATTGGAGCCGGCCTATTCAGGAGCTCTTCGAAGTATTCTACCCATCTGTTATGCTGTTGTTGAATTTCAGTGATTGGCTTGCCTTCTTTGTCTTTGACCGGCCTCTCTGGTTTACTGTATTTCCCTGATAGTTTCTTCGTTGTATCGTAAAGCTGCTTCATATTTCCTTCTCTAGCAGCTTTTTCTGCCGTCGTTGCTAGTTCTTCCACGTATTTCTTCTTGTCGGCTCTAATGCTCCTCTTCACTTGTTTGTTTGCTTCTATGTATTCAGCTTGTGCTTGGACTTTCTCTGCTCGTGTTCGGCTGTTGTTAATTGCTGCCTTCTTGTTCTTCCTTTCTTTGATCTTGTCCAATGTTTCTGTAGAGATCCATTCCTTATGATGGTATTTCTTTAGACCGAGAACCTCTTGACACGTTGAAGTTAATGCTTCTTTGATGCCTTTCCAGTTGTCCTCCATAGTAGTTTCTTCTTCCTTCAGTAGATCTGGCAAGGCTTGGAACCAGTTGTTGAGAGCTATCTTGAATTCATTGAGTCTGTCAGTATCTCGAAGGAAGGCTGTATTGAACCTTTGTAGTGCTGTTTGTCCAGTTTTCCAGTTCTTCTTTAGCCTCAGTTTTAAATTGGCTACAACTAGGTGGTGGTCTGAAGCTATATCACCTCCTCTCCTGCTTCTCACATCTTCCATTGTCCGTCGGAACTTTTTATTGATGCAAATATGATCTATCTGGTTCTCTGTAGTGTGGTCCGGTGAGATCCATGTAGCTTTGTGTGGAAACATTGTGCCGCCTGTGACCAATTTGTTGAATGCACACAGATTTGCAAATCTTTCCCCATTTTCGTTTCTCTCTCCCAGTCCATGTCGTCCCATAATATCTTCACATCCGGTGTTGTCTATTCCGACTATGGCGTTTAGATCTCCCATCAGAATGGTGAGATCCTTTCTTGGGCACTTCTCTATGATTGATTGCAGCCTATCGTAGAATTGATCTTTAATGTCGTCGTTACTATCATTGGTGGGTGCATAACATTGGATAATATTCATTGTGATCCCCTCCTTCTTTGTTTTGAATGATGCTTTGATGATTCTGGATCCGTGAGATTCCCATCCTACAAGTGCATTTCGTGCTACTTTGGACAGCATTAGAGCGACTCCCTGAGTGTGTGGAGCATTTTCCTCTTCGTAGCCGGAGTATAGCAGCATCTCTCCTGTATTTAGCCTTTGTTGTCCAGCTTGGATCCAATGGGTTTCTCTGATTCCCAGTAATGCCAAGTTGTATCTCCTCATTTCCGTTGCTATTTGACTGGTCTTTCCGGTCTCCCACATTGTTCGGACGTTCCATGTACCTATAAAAATTGTTGCTCTGGTTGTTAGAAGGGGCATCGGCCTCGTGGCTTTTGAAGGAACTCGGCTTTCACCATGAGGCGTCATATTTCTTCTAAATGAAGACCTAACTCCCAGGGCAGAGTTTAAATGGTTTGAATTATTTTTTCTGGTAAGCGTTTTTTAGCGAGTTAGTTTTCTACGGAATGGGGACGCTAACCCCATGCCCAACCCTCCTCCTTTACCCGGGCTTGGGACCGGCAGTAACTCTAGAAGAGCTACAGGCAGAGATACCTTGCAACGTGAAGAAGGCAATTTACAATTTGTCGTGCTTTGCGTGTTGTGTCGATGATGCTGAAAGCTGCCGTTAATTGTTTTACATTATCATTCATTTCAAAACGTTCAATATTGTGCTGTTACCTTGATATTTTGCGAATGCAGTTAGTTAGCTTGAGAGTTCATATAATATTTTTGAAGTGGTAACGTGTAATTTTAATATATGTCCGGTTGCTCTACTATCTCATTCTGCTAACAAGGACGTAACAACTAGGAACTAAAGTTTTCTAAATAGTATGTACCTCATCACCCGTGATTCTTCAGGATATTCTAATGATCTACACTACTCGAAGTCTATTTATTTCCGTTAGTTTGTTGAGCTTAAAATTGTTTATCGAAATCCTAGTAATCAGTATTTTAGTTATCGATCAAGTCATTGCACAATATTGTTCGTTATTTATTGATAAGTTTTAATCAATCAATTGATTTCAATAAGATCTCAATTAGTTGTTTTCCATATCAATTACTGATAAGTATATATGAAAATTTGACTTAAACTTCATGTTTCAATACTAATATTTCAGAGTGTGTGGTTGATGATTGTTTAGTCTAATGATTGTATTTACTCAATTTTAACAAAGTTCACAATGTTTTCAATAATCCTTATTGAATGTTCTCTTAATGAGAGTTTAAAAAAACAGTAATCAATTTTAACTTGGTTATTTATTCTCTGAAGAAGTGAATTACACTAAGTCACGAAACGTCAGGAAATCTAATTTTCTACTCATTGGGATATTACAAATATATTATTTATTTATTTATAACAATCTACCTAATGCTCAATTTATTCGAAATTATCAAATCAAACCTTGGTAATGATACCTACAAAGTTCACAATGTTTTCAATAATTCTTATTGAATGTTCTCTTAATGAGAGTTAAAAAAAACCCCCCAGTAATTAATTAATGAATAATTTTTTTTTATTTCATTGAAAGGTTGGATCAAGTGAATGGGTATATAATGATGCAATACTATTAGAATTAAATACACTTTTAGCTTTAATTATACGTCAACAATTCATTCGTAAATCTACATGTACAGAAGAAGATTTATTTGAATTGATTCATACTTATCATTCTCAATCATGTCCATCTCAGTTACTTTAAAATTGGTAGATTGTTTGTTTGTGTTTGTTTGTTTGTTTGTTTCTAATTAAATTGAATTTTGTAAATAGTTCTAGAAATTGTACTTTTGGCTTTTTTTGTTGTTGGCTACATGTTGCCATAATCATGTTTTATCTTTTTCAATGTGAAGTTTTATTTTCATAATCATTCTTACATGTATTCATTTGTTAAAACAGTAGAAATGTGTTATAATGGTTAATACTACTAAATGGTAAAAAAGAAAGAATCATAATGACTATGTAAATTGTAGTGCATAAGTAATATATAAATACTTACTTACTTACTTACTTACGCCTGTTACTCCCAATGGAGCATAGGTCGCTGACCAGCATTCTCCAACCCACTCTGTCCTGGGCCTTCTTTTCTAGTTCCATCCAATTCTTGTTCATTTTTCTCATGTCTATCTCGATTTCTCGGCGTAATGTGTTCTTTGGTCTTCCTCTTTTCCTTTGGCCTTGAGGATTCCGTGTGAGGGCTTGTCTTGTGACGCAGTTGGGAATATATAAATGTGGTAATGGAATTAAAGTCAAAATAATTAATTTATGAATAACATATCATGTACTGTATCATATCAATGGTTCGCATAAGTCAGTCAATCAGCTACAATGTAGGACCAGACACATATATACATCGGTCCAAGTTGCCACACCTCATTAGTAAAAACAAGATGTACACCAAATTCATAGAAGTATTCACTTCAATGGGAGTGATGTATAAAATAAAGATTGTGTATAAGGATATCCAGTCAGCCAGTGACAAAGTAAAACTTTGTACGTACATACATCAGTTCGAGTTGCCATACCACATTAGCACAGAGATGCAGTTGTCGATTCGAATCCCACAGTGGTAGAGGTAGAAAGAGTATAAGCAGAAGTCGGAAAGATTAGGGTTTGGAGATCCAGTGAAATAAATTTAGGAAGAGAGAAAAAGAGACAAGGAGGATTCAGGAGATTAGAATTTGGGAGAACATAAAGAGTGTATGCACCTGCGCCATTGCAAACGATTTTGAGCAATGTCATTCAGGGTCTCTAACCATCGGTTGCTATCATCTCGCGGTCCCCAACCAGGTAGTGTACACCTACCAATATGACTCAGTCTACTTGTCAGTGACTTCATGGACTTGTGCCATGTTTTGGCCTGGCCGCCCCTAGCTTTCTTCCAACGTACTCCTATGCCACTGAACATCGCACGTCGGGACAGTCGGTGGTTGGGCATACGTAACACGTGTCCCAGCCATCTCAACTGATGAAGTTTCACTACTTCATCAATTGATTTGCCATCCTTACCTGGTACCCGTTTCCTAACAACTGCATTACTTACTCGATGGTCCCAGGATATACGAGCAATGTTTCGAAGACACCTATGATCAAATACTAGTAACCTACGAATATACAATACATGAAGAAACAATTAGTTCGTAGAAAGAAAGATATAAAGCAATTTTAATCTTTTAGTTTAAGGGGAGACAGAGAGTGTTTACACCTACACCATTGTGATCAATTCCTAAATGGCAAATAGAGGTAAAAAAATTTCAAAAGTCCCTGTATAAAGTCCAACTTTATTCTTAGGATCAAGTACAAGATTTACCAATTGCATGACGAAATTAGGATTTAAGTGGAAAATTTGTTTGATTCAATTTAGGCTTTTTTTCATTTACAACTCCTTCTAGAGCATATGCTATACTTGGGATTGATTCTTTTGGATCGGCCATCTACATAAAATGAAAATGTTTTTTACCATTAATAAATGAATTCGATATTGTTTTCTTAAAGTTTTGACGAACAGTTACTTTTCTTTCAGAAGATTCATTGGCTATTTTCTCAATACAGTTAAACTTCAAGAATTTCAGAAGAAAATACACGTTTTCGTTCTTCAATGGTTTACAAGTATCGTTTCTTCATCAGAACCTTTTGTTACACTTCGACTATCTTCTGTATCCCGTCTCTTCAAAATTCATTAGTTTGCACTGTTTACGAGTTATTTGTGAGATTGATGTGTGGTAGTGAAAGTGTGGTTGGTCACTGAGTTTGGACAAAGAGACACACAACTTACTGACTATTAAATGTGTGATTCCCTTTCCTTTTATTGATTTGTACTCCAGACCCACTGAGAGTGACTGCTTGTAATTGTAAGGCACAAAGTATTGTATAATTTGTACTCCAGTTTTCTATTTGTGATCATGAATCTTGTATCTGATATAATGTGATCTACATGTGTATGGAGGATCGTTCGAGTATTTTATCCTGAAGTAGTATAAACTCAGTTATCCAGCCCAGTCTTATTACCGTCTTAGCATAGAATACCGCAGAGAGAAATCTATCTGAATTCGTCCATTATATCGGAAATCCATTCCTTAATTATTATACGAACTAGGGAAACAGCTATTAATGACTTTTGAATGTCTGTCTAGTTATTTTTGCACTCCTCAGATTTAGAGTTGTGCTTTTCATTGCTCTATGAAATTTCCTGGACTCTTCCGCTACTTCAAAAATCGTCTGCTATTTTGTGGATAATGCATTCTATACATCCAGATTCCAAACCTTTTGATGGTGCATGACTTGGAAGGCACTATCCATAACATTTTAGCGGATTTAATGGCTACTAACTACGATTTTCTAGCTACGGTGTGACTAGATGTCACAATTTATTCAGACTAGACAGTTGATGATCGATTGTATCCTGAAACTATCCACGAAAACTGTATCGATAATCTGAAATTAATTAATTCTTTCTTCCTGTGCTATATCCTTATAGCAATCTTTCCTTTATATATTACCACCACTGAATTAGCTACTTCTATGAATCTGGTGTCCATCTTGTGTTAATGAGGTATGGCAACTTGTACCGATGCATATATGTGCCTGGTCCTATGTTGTAGCTGACTGACTGAGATAATCTGAAATGCTCTTGTTTTTTTTATAGAGTTACGGAATTCGCATTTGTACTAGTAGTTCTTACAATAATGGTGTCAACAATATATAAGAAGAAAAACTGATAAGACACTGTGTCTTGAATATGATAGATTACTGTGATAATGGACTTCTTGAAAATGAATTTATTATTCTGAAAAATAGCATTTATTATAGTAGAATGTTATAAAGGCATGTACATTCTGCCTAACTTCGTGAACTTTCATATGAGGTTACACGAAGATAGATAAACTCAGTGACTTTACGACATCTTTAATGAAGCGGTGAAATAAATTAGTCTAATTCTTGCAAAATTTATCACGAGAATGAAAATGCGGTACTGGAATTTGTAGTTGCTGTAAATCTGCTGGAAAATAATGTTTCATACTAAGTGGAGGCAATATAGCGTGCTGGAGTTAATCATCAAGCCACTAATAAAATTTTTACCGTATATTAACCAGTTGAAGGATAAATGAAAATGAGGAAATGTCAGAGGATCAGTAAATAGTGAATTAGAATTGTCGATTTATTATTAACGTATGTAAAAATGACATGAATTCTATTTACGAGTAAAATGAATTAGCATAGCCATTAATAATTTAACATAAAAATGATTTAGTAAGTCACACTGAAATAGCACTAACTGGTGAATGATACTAGTAGTTGTATTTGCTTTAGTGGGAATGTTACGCTACAATAATTAGTTATTATGTATCGTAGACAGAATCCTAATCCCAAGTGTCGGCCTCCTGTTATATCTGTATTACCAAGCTTACTGAAAGCACTGGATTATAACAATGGAGAAAGCAGATCATTATTTGAACATATGAAGTTAGCAGTCGGTTAGTACTCAGATGTTTGAGAGATGAGATAATTGTATGTTGTTACAATCGGTAAGGCTCCTAAACTACAAGTAACGGTGGTATTTGATGTTTGATATGTCTTCGACTGATATAATATCTGTATGTGACAAATAGTAAGTGCTCCATTGTAGTCCAAAAATTAATCACCAGATCATCGTCAAGCAGAACATGAGTAGTAATCAAAAAGTTTCCCTATGACACCTCTACAACATTGGTCCCTATTGTTGTCGATGTTTGGTAAGTGCGATATTGTTGCTGTTAGTTTTCAGGACGTTTGCTTGAGATTCGCGGTCATGATTGTGTCACCAGACCACCAGTTGAAACGATCAGGTTGTGAGTTATTTACTATAAGAGTGTATGTACTGAAATCGTCTGTTAGATAAAAACGGTCATTAGAAAGCAATACCTTATTTGTTGACTAGTTACTTATATCTATCTGTCGACAAAGTCATTTTCAATGGATAATCGAGTGTATCGATCATATTTCTTGATTGTCAAGTCATACAGGTGCTTTATGATGCATATATGATGTTAATGAGTCATTGATGTTGAATGCAAGCAGTATTATTTTTGATGCTTTGAACCATTTATGCCTTTCATTTGCTCACTTCTGTAGCGGCTTCATATCTACAAAAGCTTGTCGTTTTTTGAACTGATTCAGGGCTAAATTATCTTATGAATGTTAAATGCGTCAATCACAATCCTATTAATTGTGAACTTTTACCCATGAACCATATTATTCTTGGACTATATAAACTCATTGCTTTTGACTGAGAATTCAAACATACAGTACGATTGATATTTACATTAATCAATTAAGCACTTCACAAAATACGCCATATATGATTCTCATTTCATACAAACTCAGTACTCTATACAATTGTTCTACTGGATCAGTGTGTGAAATCTACCTCCTAAACATCTCGTATTCGACTTTCAACATTACATTGTAATATAAGTTCGTTATACAACAGGAAAAGTCGTACCACTAACCTGAGACCAATAAAATGTAGTCGAATATGCTTCCAAGAATTAATGAGCCTCACAAATGAAATAAATGCAGCATATCTTGCAAAGTTTCAAGTGAATTCCCACGTGTAGATTGTCCTACTGATGTCGAAGTCATTGACAGTGTAACTACAACACTGCATACCACAGACTTGTAGAGATTATTTCCTTTCCATTTAACTCCAACTTATGATGTCCAGTGAACAGAACTTTAGCAGGCCGATTCTCCCCTAGTAGTGCTATGAATTTACTTCAGAATATCCAAAAGTCAGAACACCAGTTGTTGGGGTAGTGTACTGTTAATCATAAAATTCATAATTACGAGTGAGGCAAGTACATGGGGGAGTGAGTGTGTGAGTCAAAATCGAAATTTCTATTTGTGTTAATCAATTGTAGGTAAGTTATTGGTTGTCTGTGTAAACAACCAGTGGGAGGATAGATAAAGGTTGAGGTGCAAATATGCGTTTAATCAGACCCACAGATACTTTAACATAATGGGTTAAATTACAGCAGGTAGGCAATAAGAAATTCAATGTGTTAATTATAGATTACTACAAACCTATTGTTACGACGCAGTGTTTCAACGTTGCATCAAATTATTTTACCTTCTAACATAATGGAGTTGTTATATTGAGTGATATTGCTTAAAGTGTGAGAGAACACAATGCAATCAATTACTGTGCAAATATACCCCACAATATAATAATTTCACAACGGTTTCGTTATTGTTTCAGTATGTTAACTTACTTGTGAGCTTTCGTTTGATACATACACAATTCTGTTTTTTGATATATCCCGACGAGAATATTGAATGTTGACTGTTGGGATCCATTGATGGACAATTATGGACGCTCTCAGTATCGGCGATATGAATCACATATTTCAAACATACTTGGTTTATATACAAGCCAAACAGACCACATCACACTACAAAATAGAAAATAACATTTGTACAAGATCTAGCCAAAAGTATATATATATACCAAGTATGTTTGAAATAAATGGTTCATATTGTCGATGCTGAGATTGGTGTTCTGGACTCAACATGCAGGCACGGCTAGACAGGAAGCGGGACCGATAACGACTCTAGACTGATCGAAAGGGATTACGCGTCATTGGTCCGATCGATAATTCACTGTTCTCTAATTGGTGATGTCATTACGTTATACATTAATTGAGCACAAAGCCACAAGTTATTACATTTTTACCTTGCTTGAGTTCTTGCTAGTTAATTGCGTAGCTATTTCTCAGTTATCCTTCACTGATGGTGCAGTTATGAGCACAATGTAATTTTTCATTGACGTTGTTTATGGTCAGAAATGTACCGTACATAGTCATATGAATTTGAGTGTTTTAAAAATGGATGAGTAATAGGAATCTTACTTGTGGAGAAAATATAAGTTCCTCCCGTCTACTCGGTTCACTAAATGTCTAAAGCATACCGCCTGAATATGAATATGAGTGGGGAAATTTCCTAACTACATGTTAGTGAACAGATTGAAAAAGAATTTTAATACTTTCTGTAGTCATTGGGACACTGTTCTCATTAGTATCCCGAAAAAAACACTAAACATTCCGTCACCGTCGTTTATTCAGCTTGTGACAATCTACAGCATGAAATTCAGTAAAATATCTCACTTTCCTTTGATAAGATGAAAAATACTGGACAAAACAGCCAGAACCTTATTGATTAGAGAATTAATGACCTGCAAGTTGATTTCCTTCAACCACCATGACATCTAAGTCTCATTGAAATCATGACCATTTCGTCTCAGCATCGAACTCCTCAGCAACACACATCCATGATCTTCCACACAGGACATTAACAACGGTGGATGCCGTGTCCATTGTCTAGAGCGTAGGCGTTTGCGCAAGACGGCATACTGTAACGGACCGATATATATATATATATATATATATATATATATATATATATATATATATATATATATATATATATATATATATATATATAATAAGGCTTGTTGCACACTAATGTGCTCCAGAACACAATGCATCGCATGTTAAATACCAACCTGAGTGAAACTCAGGAATTGGACTGTACAGATTACACTGCAATAATGTTTAGCTTAACAATGTAGAGTGCAATAGTCAAGCTCATGAATTTCTAATCGATCTGCATGATATGGTTTGGCCTGAAAGAATGCTTGCATCATATGTTACACGCATTCAACCAATATGTTATGTTCCGTAGCTTATGAGTAACGTGAAAAGTTGAGTGGTAGATAAGCTGTCACTGCACAAATCACTGATTACTAGTACGCGATCGGTGGTAGTGGTTCCGTAGGAATTAATGTTCATATTCCTCTTAAAGTGTAAATCAGTACCATTCCACACTTTAATTTCCTTCGATCTGGTTTGTCCGACATATGA